GGGAGTCACCCCGTTATGCCGCACTAGAACCACTGAACTGCCGACCTTTCAATCAACAAGCTTAGTGTCTTAGCCACCACGTCCCTTTGACATTATACATATTTTGGACCCAAGAAATTAGGAGAGTAGGTATAGTTAGAATCACAATTAGCCAGAGCTATTCAGAATGAAAACTGACATTAGGAGTCCATAGATGATATTCAATCTAATTTTGCCAGGCAAGGAAACTATATGTGTACACAAAAAGTCGGTAAATGACAGATCATTTCATCAGCATTTACAAATAAAATTCCATGAAACTGAAATTCAAACCTTGCTTTTCGGAAGTTTTGCAGTGGCCTGTGGTTAACACCTCCAATTTCAACACCACAATCAACACAACGACTACGTTGCATAGGTTGACCACACTGGGGGGGGGGAAGAGAAACAAATGTTATAAAATAGAGAACAAAAATAGTTCTTCACTGTTTCAGTTAAGTCCAATTAGCATGTGATTAGAATACCCTTTTAAAATTATTAATCAAGGTAATAATTTTGACTTAATTGTCTGTTGCCTTAAGACATATATACTATTGAAGAAAACATTAAGAGCTAAGCCAAATAAATACAAAACAATCTCACTCTCTCTCTCCCACCCCTCCTTCCCCCTCTCCCCATTTCCATTTCTTACCTCTCCAATAATACAGGGGTGACCATTTGGACATGCTGGTTGAATAAAGAAAGCAAAAAGTAAATCAGTACAATACTGCCAGTAATTCTAAATTATTCTCAGGATTCATAATTATAATTAAAATTCAAAACACTAATGACATCATAAAAAACAGATAAAACAAAAGGAAAAAAGACATTCAAGATTCAGATAAGATGCCATACTTTCCTTAGCTAATTACCAGAAAGATTGCCTGTTAAATCCTCAACATTAATATTTGTTTAATTTTGGTTTTTACGTTTAACTTGTTCCATTTAACTTTGTACTTTTTAGTCTTTTTAATCTATGCTTTTATTCGTATGTGTTTATTATGACCCACAATCTCCAAGATGAAACAGGCATTATAGAACAGTCTGGTTTTTGAATCTTCAAAAACAGCAATGTCATATGAAATAGAAGTAAATATGAAAGTTGCATTTATTTCTTAGGAAGAAATAGGAGACCTATTCAGGGGAAATTTATATACCTGTGCTGAAGAAAGCAAGTGCAACCGATAAATGTTTTGTACATCAATATAGCAGCAAGACTAAAAGCATTATCTTTCCAAAGTTTTTTTCTATTTTTCTCCAATTAAAACTGCATCTAAGCAAAACAACACTTTAACAGCCTAATTTAAAAATAAATTTTGCTGGCTGCTTTCAGAGATGGATTCCACCAATTTTGCAGATTATCACTGTATCTGTTACATGGCGTTCATATGTATGATCAGAAAATACCAATGCTTTTATTTTCTTGTTGGATGTCATCACTAGGGCAGTAAAGATACAAACATCTTTACAAATATTTCCCATTTCTGTAAATCATAGTCTGGAAGATTCTTTAAAGCAGGGGTGTCCAACCTTTCACCTTCCCTGGGCCACATTAGATGAAAATTTGGTTTGGGCTGCACATAAAATAAAATAACAGTAACAATACCTGATCATCCCCCAAAACCATAGAAAACATAGTTAACATATTAAATTTATTTGGAAATGAAATTAGTGAGATGTTTTTATTATTTATTATTTATTAAAAATTATTTATTTTTTATCACGTTTTTTATCACATTTTTTTTTATCACAGTTTATATTCTGGCCAAATTTTGCAGGGGGAGGGGAGTGAGGGGGAGAAAGCTCGCCTGCCTCATGCCTACCTCTCCTCCTGCAAATGGCCCGGCTGGATGAGGCAGGACTGGAAGGCAGAAGCAGCAGCAGCAGCAGCGGCGGGGGCAGAAGCCTTCCCCTGCCACCGCTGCTGCTTCTGCCCCTGCCGCCGCTGCCCCTGCCGCCGCTTCTGCCCCCACTGCCGCTGCTGCTTCTGCCCCCGCCACCGTTGCCCCTGCTGCCGCTTCTGCCCCTGCCTCTTCCCCCATCGCCGCCGCCACTTCTGCCCCCGCTCCTGCTGCTGCTTCTGCCCCCGCCGCTTCTTCCCCCGCCACCGCTTCTGCCGCCGCCGCTTCTGCCCCCACCGCCGCCACCGCTTCTTCCCTGCCCCTGCCACCGCTTCTGCCCCTACCGCTGCCGCCATTGCTTCTTCCCCTGCCCCCGCTTCTGCCCCCGCTGCGGGGGCAGCGGTGGTGGGGACAGAAGCAGCAGCAGTGGCGGGGGAAGAAGCAGCGGCGGTGGCGGGGGCAGAAGTAGCAGTGGTGGCGGGGGAGGAAGCAGCGGCGGGGGCAGAAGCAGCAGCGGCAGAAGCGGCAGCAGGGGCAGAAGCGGCGGTGGGGGCAGAAGCGGCGGCAGCAGCGGGGGAAGAAGTGGTGGGGGCAGAAGCAGCAGCGGGGGCAGAAGCAGCAGTGGTGGCGGGGGAGGAAGCGGCGGGGGCAGAAGCGGTGGCAGCAGCGGGGGAAGAAGCTGCGGGGGCAGAAGCGGCGGCGGGGGAAGAAGCGGCAGCGGTGGGGGCAGAAGCGGTGGCGGTGCCGGCGGCGGCAACAGCAGGAGGTGGCACTCTGACGGCGCCCGCCTTTTCTCTTGCTGCTTGGCCTGGCACTCGCCTCGCCCCACCTCACGCCTGCCTCTCCTCCTCCTTGCTGGCTCTGGCACGAAGGTTGGGGTGGGCACTGGGCCGCATTACGAGGCGACCTGGGCCGCATGCAGCCCCTGGGCCGCGGGTTGGACAAACCTACTTTAAAGCATCACAAATTGACACCCCTAATTTCATGGCAAATGGTTTAAATCGGCAGGTAAAACAATAGAAGCACCATTGAATTCACAGACACCTTCATTTCCTCTCCAAAATGCCATGCTCTTAACCTCTTGTCCTTGTTTATAAATCTCTCCTTGGTTCATAAAGAAGCCAGAAGAAAGGAAAAGGCTGTTCTGGGGGTTTGTGTGTTTATAAAAAGGAAGGGTATAAGGGAGTGGGCAATCCTACAGAGAAATTTGTGATGGAGATAAAGATTAAATGGGGAAATAAAACAACTGGTTTCAACAGAACAGGTTTGTGTTTTGGAGCTCAGTAACACCTTTATCTTGCATTTAAGCTTAATTTCCATTTTACATACTTTAGCTTGCCACTCTATGAAATGGTCTTTTATGACTAGCCATTCTCTTCATGGCTGTGAATTTGTCAATGGTTCTCTGCTCCATGCCCACTCCTGCCACCTACACCCCAGACCTATATTCATATGGTCCTATGACATTTTCTTAAAGATCATCGTGTAGGTCACAAGGCACATACATTTGAGGACTCTCACCAAAACAGAAATTACCATGACTTATGAAAATATGTTGCTGGAAAACAGCAAAGTTTATTCAGATCTATACACTGGAGATGTCCATCATGATTTTCCCATCATATACCCCAAAGGCTGATACTCACTATACCAATGAACCTTTCCGTTTAACTGCCACTTCACAGCTTGAGCCAACATGTCTTCTGGCATGGTTGGCAGAAAAGCGTTCTAGGTGAAAGGACAGATGGAAAAATTGAATTGTGATATATTAGATAATACACAGTGATAACTTTCTTTAGAACTTCCTGATCTAACTGATCCAAACTCATTTTCTCATATAATTAAAAAGTAAACACTGAGAATTATCTTCAAATTGTAAAGGTATAAATAAACTGAAGGGGAAACTAGAAAACAAGCTAATTTGTTTGGGCCGTGGTGACGCAGTGGTTAGAATGCAGTATTGCAGGCTAATTCTGCTCATTGCAAGACGTTCAATACTGACTATCTCAAGGTTCTCAGCCTTCCATCCTTCCGAGGTCAGTAAAATGAGGACCCAAATTGTTGGGGGGTAAAATGCTGACTCCATAAACCACCTAGAGGGGGCTGTAAAGCACTGTGAAGTGGTATCTAAGTCTTAAGTGCTATTGCTATTTTCCAGCATTACCTCCGAAGAGAGTCTGAAAGGTTTAACTGGCATGCTCTGCAATTTATTAACTAGTAAAAGATCCTGAAATTCCATTATACCTCTACCAAATGATTCATGAGCATAATTTAAGCAGCTGGTGTTTATATTTATATCAGTGTTTCTCAACCTTGAGAACCTGACTTTTAAGATGGATGGACTTCAACACCCAGAATTCTCCAGCCAGCCAGAGGCATTCTGGGAGTTGAAGTCCACCCATCTTCAAATTGCCAAGGTTGAGAAACACTGCTTTAAGTGGTCTCTGGTGTAGTTCTTTGAAGGACAGCCTCTCCCATGATGGTTCCATACAGATGTTAAAATGTATAACGTTCTTGCCACAGAACATTCCCAAGTTAGGGAGTGTCTGATACCCACTCTCTCTGCCTCTAGAACAGCTTTCTCTAGGCCTTGATTTCTTGCTCATTAATTTAATCATTGTTCATTTCTCTATTTTTTAAAAAAATCTGCATTAGTTATCATAGTAGTTGTTAACCTTCTTGAATATTCAAGCTAACAAAGATGCATGATACTTTTTTTTAAAATAAGACTTTAAGTTAAAAAAAAAACTTTTAAGTCCGGCATGAACTTCCTTACCAGCATTGTTCCAGGTGAGAATGCCAGATTCCTTAGGGGTTCAAGGATTCTATTCTGGCCACAAAGCAAAACAACTGCAGTATGAACTGCCATTTCAATCACCATCATGTTGCGGCCAAAAGACAGAGAAGCCAGAGTCAGCAAGGGGAGTTGATTAGAAATAAGAGATTCAGCAAATGACTTCAGTTTTGCAGATGGAAGAACCTTGGAGTTCTGGATAAATTCTTTAAGTATATCACATTGCTGAAAAACAGAGGGAGGGAAAGTAAATGCAAGTTCAAAAGACTTAATCTGCAACATAACAATGATTAATTATTTACTTATTTTCATACCCATTCATGTAATATTATTGCACTTTGTTATCAGCAATTGTTTGCGGCCTGCTTGAGTGACTCCAGGAAACTTACAATATAGTAATAGTAAGAGTCCTCTGGACAAGGTATGAATCCACTAACATAAGGCACAAGTAGCAGTACAGAAAATCGCAACAGGTACATGGAAATCCTGTTAATAGCCAGGGAGGGCAATTAATTTTCTCAAGGAGCCACATGGGAAATTGAGACTGTTGTGGAAGGCTACCTGCCCCCTGCCACCACTGCCTTGTCATTGCCAGAAGCCCTGCCATCGATGCCACCATCGTGAGATGGATTGGGACTACCCCCGGGCCAGATGTGACCCATGGGCCTTGAAATGCCCAGATCTGGTTTATAGGTACAATCTTATCAACAGATTTTCCAAATGGAAACAGTTGAGAGAAACCACAACACATTCAGGACGTGCAAAATGTTTGACCCTCAAACGTTCTGAGCTCAAAACTGCTGTTGTAAATGTCCTGAGGAGAAAACACAGAACATTTGATTTCGTGCACAATCAACCTATTAAAGGTAGTCCTCAACTTATGACCACAATTGAGCCCAAAATTTATATTGCTAAGTGAGAAATTTGTTAAAGTGAATTTTGCCTCATTTTATGACTTTGCTCGGAAGATTTGTTAAGTTCTTAAATTAGAAACATGGTCGTTAAGTAATCTGGTTCAACTGTCATAAATGTGAGTCAGTTGTCAACCATCTGAATGTAAATCATGTGACCAAAGCAATGCCACAACAGTCATAAATGTGAAAAACAGTCGTAGGTCACTTTTTTCACTGCCGTTGTAACTTTGAATGGTCACTAAGTGAACTGTTATAAGTCAAGGAGTACCTATATTTAGTTTACCCCAGTCATTTCTATAATTAGCATGATATTTTGCAGAATGAAAACTAATTCACCTTCTGCTTAGGGTGAGCATTTGGGTTTCCGCCTCCATACAGTGATGTGAGCTCTCTGAAGATAGTCAGAAGAAAATGAATTGGCAGTGCAGACTTGGAGCCCTTGTATGCCTGAAGAGAAGGATACAAATAACCAAAGCTAAGTAAGATAATCAGGAGTCGAGTTTCCATCTGCGGCTGGTAACAGAATAATTAAGAGCACAAAATAAAACCTGGAGTAATAATAACACAGCCTTACACTCCAAACTCCAAAGAAGTATTAAATTATAGTAGTTGAAATCCTCCTAGACCGATCTATAAGCAGCTAAACCAAGCTGTTTTGTAAAAGGTTTCTCACCAATTATGTAAAGGCAAAACCAGGCAAGGGAATGACACAGATTTACATAAGAATCTCTATTCCAATTTAGCAGTCAAATTTATTCCACCAACTAGTGCAAGTAGTTTGGACTGGGTTATCTTTTGTCTTTTGGGGGTTTTTCCTTGTAAGCAGATCCATCTTCCTCACCAAACACAATTTACAAAGCATTCTACAAAAAGACTCAAGAAAATAAATCACTGATGCCAGGTTAATTAGAATCAATGATCCTGATAAGACCAAAGTGGATTAAAGTTCAGATCATATGTATATCGTTCTTATTCCCCATTGTGTTTCTCCCCAGATTCTATTAATCAAAGCAGTTATGGGTAAGTCAACACACTGCTATGAAAAGCGCCAACATGAGCTTCAATTTGTGTGAAGGAATGCCTCCAGGACCCAGAAAATAAACTTAGGGAAATTTTTTAAAAATTAGGGAAAATTAGGGAATGACCCAAGGTTCTGAAGGAACTGGCAGACAAGATCTCAGAACAACTGAACTATATCTTTCAAAGATCCTGGAGCACCAGCAAACTGCCAGAGGACTAGAAAAGAGTTGATGTACTATTTCCTATCTTCAAAAAAATAGATCCAGAAAACTACAGATCTATCAACCTGACCTCAATACCAGGGAAGATTCTGGAAAAGATAAAACATGGTTTGTTAAAAACAGATCATGCCAGTCTAATCTTATTGCATGTTTTGACAAAGTGACAAAATTAGTGGACCAGACGAATGCTGTCGATATAATTTATTTGGACTTCAGTAAGGCATTTGATAAAGTAGACCAGAACTTACTACTTGATAAAATAGAAAAATGTGGGTTAGACAGCATCACCACTAGATGGATTTGTAACCGCACACAATGTATAGTCCTCAATGGAACTGCATCTACATGGAGGGAAGCATGCAGTGGGATACCCCAAGGTTCTGTTTTAGGCCCAGTACTCTTCAACATCTTCATCAATGAGTTGGACAAGGGGATAGATGGGGAACACATCAAATTTGCAGATGACACCAAACTAGCAGGAATAGCCAACATGCCAGAAGATAGGATTAAGATACAGACAGACTTGAACATTAGGCACTATCTAATAAAATGAAATTTAAAGGTGAAAAAAGTAAGATTCTACATTTAGGCAAGAAAAACAAAATGCATAGGTAGAGTATATGTGCTACCTTGCTCAAAAGTAATAACTGTGACAGGAATCTTGGAGTCATTTAAATATGAGCCAGCAGTGTGCTGCAGCTGACAAAAGAGGCAACATAAGTTCTAGGCTACATAAACAGAAGAATAGAAACAAGATCACGTGAAGTGTTAATACCACTTTTTAATGCCTTTGTAAGGCCACACTTAAAATACTGCATCCAGCTTTGGTTGCCACAATGTAAAAAAGATGTTGAGACTCTAGAAAGAGTGCAGAGAAGAGCAACGAAGATGATTAAGGGAGTGGAGGCTAAAACATATAAAGAACAGTTGCTGGAAGTGGATATGTCTAGTCTTATGAAAAGAAGGACTAGGGGAGACATGATAGCAGTGTTCCAATATTTGAGGGGCTGCCACAAAGAAGAGCGAGTCAAGCTATTCTCCAAAGCACCTGAGGGTAGGACAAGAAACAATGGGTGGAATCTAATGAAAGAGAAGCAACTTAGGAGAAATTTCCTGACAGTTAGAACAATTAATCAGTGGAACAACTTGCCTCCAGAAGTTGTAAATGTTCCAATACTGGAAGTTTTTAAGAAGAGATTGGATAACCATTTGTCTGAAGTGGTGTAGGGGTTCCTGCCTAAGCAGGGGGTTGGACTAGAAGACCTCCAAGGTCCCTTCCAACTCTGTTATTCTATTTTATTCTATTACAGTATAGTGCTTTGTTTGAAAAAAAAACACCCACCAAAAATGTAAATATAACACAAAAATAAAGTAATCTTGACTGACAGAAGGGTGAGAAAGATTGGGGATGAATAAGTATCCCCATGACTGCCATGAGAATTAAATTCCAAAGGTGCTCACTGGCTCAAACAGGCTATGAGCTATGGAAGAATAGTTACTCATTGTAGACAATTACAATAAAACTTCCTTCCAAAATTCCAAACTGGGTATTTAATACTGAAGAAAAAATATCACAGCACCATTTGCCTCTTTAAAAACGTTATAAACAAAAATATCTTTTTTGTCCAGCATAGCTAATAGAAACAGAAATGAATGGATCCTTTAAATTCTTTTGTACTTTGTGCTTATTACCAAATAAGAGAAGCCCCCTTCCTGCTAAGCAAGAAGAGGTAAGCTGCTCAGAAAAATAAGATGTTACCTTCAGGGCTTCTGCAATGACTTCTGTCTCGCATGTTATCAATGCTTGCTCCACAGTATTGCGTATGGCTTTGTAGTCCTTGCCACAAACCAGGAAACGATCAATGCAACCAGGTTGGAATGCCTGAGGCCACAAACCACAAAATAAACAAACTAGAAACAAAATAAAAGGCGAACTGTATGTACTAATTCACTCATTCAATTAACTTGTCCCTACTATAGTCAATGGGATTTTTAGACTTTCTTTAGAAAGTCCGGCAGTTAGAAGCTTCTGACAGTTAAAACTTTATATCATCCATAAAGTAAACAGGCACGTGAATCCACTGGTTATTCAGGACTGCCTGACAGTTTAATCTTACATAGCTGCCTCTCAAGCTATTCTATTTTAATACTAACATCTCACAGCAAGATAATCTACTCAAGAAAAGCCAAACAAGGATCCTTTCAAACAATTCCTTCTGACATCCATTCATTTACCCCTTCCTGTTCAAAGCTGTCTTTGGAAGAGCCGTTGTGGCGCAGTGGTTAGAATGCAGTATTACAGGCTACTTCTGCATACCATTGGCAGAAGTTCAATCCTAACTGGCTCAAAATTGACTCAGCCTTCCATCCTTCCGAGGTTGTTAAAATGAGGACCCAGATTGTTGGGGGCAATATGCTGACTCTGTAAACCACTTAGAGAGGATTGTAAAGCTCTGTGAAGCTATTGCTATTCCAGAACAAATTATAATTTGGTAACAGATCAGAATTACCTGTTGCTCTTTTATTATTTCTGATGGAAATACCCAGTGATACTGGCGGTTATTCAAAAGCTTCTGTGTGAATTCCAACCCGTACTGGCTAGCAAGCTTTCGCACAAGGTAAATCTTATGCCAGTTATTTTGAGTACGACAGAAAAACTGCCTCACTTTTTTCAAGTGGATTTGCTTTTCTTCTTCTTCACTACTGGCTGCAGAAAGAAGAGAAGTTGGTATTTAATTCCCAACCAGAGCACAGCAGTTCTAAAACTTACCTTGCAAAGAGAATTTGTCTTGCAAAGTTTTTTATTTAAAACAAAATAATATTTTCTCACGGTTGTGTAAGAAGTTACAGAAACAGCACCCCTCCAATTCCCCCCGCCCCCAACTGAATTAGAAGTTGTTTATGAGAGTTTTCTAGAAAGTTCGCATTTCCACGTGGCTACCATAATCCACTTGCCTGAAGTTTCATGAAGTTCAAAGATCACCTCTGCAGCTCTATCCATGCATAGACGGAGGTTGGCAATTCCCTGCAAATACTCAATGGTAATTTTTTGGGAGACTGGATGGCTGCTGTTGTATTGATGAAAACTTTTTTCCAGAAAATACCCATCATTTGCCAAGCAACTTATTTTGGTTTCTTTGGGAAAATTGCCTGTTTTCTCACACAATGAATCCTGAAAATCAGACAATATTTTTATATATATATATATAAAATAAAGAATTAGGTGTATTCTTTGGAAGCAGGCAATAGAATAGTGGAGATTCATAGCCCCATAGTTCAACTGTCCTCATATTAAGTATTCCAGCTTAAGAATCAGCCCTTGGCTTTGTAGATGCCTCAGGGGTGAGTAGGTTTTAAATCTAGTAGATTAACCGATTCCAATCTGCCCAAGCATGCCCCAAACTTTATCCTTGTAACTTCTGTACAATCAAGATTTCTGCACTTACAGTATAACCAAAGTTTATGGAAGAAACTGCGTGCGCAATCAGAACTGGAATGGGCTTAATTTAAAGATTTCTTAAGTGATTAATTCCAGATTAAAGAACATTCGGAAAAAGAAGGGCTACAGGGAGACCTAATATTAAGAACTAAGATACATGCATAAATACATACATAACATTACAGTACGTTACACAGATACATATATCATTTTGTTTGTTAAAATCAGGAACATGATGACGATATCTAGGTAGTAAAACTAGTAAAGTATGTGCATTTGCAATGATCTACAACATCGTTTAAGCTGATATTAATACAAGTTGGCATGACATGGTTTATGAAAAACTGCTTTTACAGTTTCAGCAACTGGTAACTTAGTAAATGTAAAACTAAATTGGAAAATGAGAAGGAATGACATTGATTCCCTTTGTCTTTTAAATTTTCAGTCATTTCCAATTGAATTTCTTTGTAAAAGTCAGTTAAGAACCCAAGTTGACTACAATATAGCAGATTCTGATACAATAGCATAACAACAGCATCTTACCCGTGTCTTCTGAGTTTGACCTAAACAAAAAATCATAATGTATGTGTACCGGAGCCATAAAACATAGCAGAATTAGGGCAACTACAGATTCTTTAGGAACCATTTCTTTTCCTTTCTTTCTTTCATACAAATATAATACTCTTCCTCATCAACCTGCTGTCCCATGTTTCCCTCTAAAAGAAATATGAAAAAACAGTCACCTCAAAGCAACTGATGAATAGCATGTATAGCTCTATTTTATCTTCCTTGTCTATGAAGTGATTTGCTTCAACTGTTGATAAATGCTTTTGTACGTAGACTTCCACATCGCTGAAACTATGAAAAGAGAAACCACCATTTATCCACAAATAATGTAGGGATGTTTAAATTTATTTTTAATAGTATTCACGAAATAAAAAGATACCCCCAGGTCATAAGGATACATTTCTGCTGTTCCACAACATGGAGTAGACCAGGGGTGGGCAAACTACGGCCCGCGGGCCACATCCGGCCCGTTGGTCTTTTTAATCTGGCCTGCCGAAGATTGGGGCGCCCGGTTGGAGCACCCAAGCGGGAGCTGGGAAACAAAAGATCCGGGCCGGACGACGGCTTGGCGGCTGAGCGGGGCGGCCAACAGCAGAGGGGAATGGAGGACAGTCAACCTGCCAGCCGAAGGGAGAGAGACTTGCCAGCTGCCCTTTGAGGAGCCGGTGCATGCCCAAGGCAACGGGGAACCCCGCTGGCAACCGCGGAGCAGCGGGGAGGCGCGGGTGACTACGGGCAGGGACGGACTGATGGACAGCGGGGGCGGCATGCTCGGGAGCCTTGCAGGGTCTGCCTGCCTTGCTGGCTGCCTGCCTTCCACGCTGGCAAAGGGAGAGTTTGGGGTGTCTGGGTGTGGATGCGCGCCGCCTCTCCATCCCTGGAGAGCATCGAGCCCAGGGTGGCGGGCAGCAGCTTTAGCGCTTGCCGGGAGGATTTCTCCCATATTCAGGACCGGTGCGGTGGTATCTGATGTCCGGGGCTCACATGTGTGTTTTGGGTCTCCCCCTTTTTGCAAGGGGAGGTGTGTTACTCGGTTCTCCAAGGCTGACGACTGACCTCTTGCCTTTATTTACGCCAAAGGGAGTGGGGGGCTGGGGGGTGGGGAATGGTCGTCGTGGCTGGCTGGGGAGCGTGTTTGCAGGGCTGCTCGGGAGATCTGGGGGTGCCTGGCTCCCCAAGGTACCCTAGTTATTTCTTGTATACATGTTTGTGTGTGTGTAGTGAAAGCTCCAATGTCATATGCCGCTACGACCTCCGTTCTCCGCACGTTCGTTTTGTCCCTTCTGTAAAGAATCTTTCGCTGTCAATCCGGACCGTTGGAGAGAATTGCGCTCGGATTTCCACAATTCCCACCCTTCGTGGACTGGGCTCCGTTTCCAGCCACAAACAGTTTTGCGAGAGCCTCCACTTGACCATGCTAACCATAAAAACGCACGGAGTTTACGCCAGGGGTGCTTACTCGGGAGAAAACCTCTCTTGATCACTGTTCAAGGTAGGGTCTGACTGACTGACAGGGGGTGGATTTTGCGGTTTCTGCATTGATACCCCCCCGCAAGCCTTTTCAAAGCATCTCAACTATAGTGCCCATGATCCCCAGCAAGAAGAGTTTGGGATAATGGGATAAAATCTTATAGGACTTATAAGAAAAGAGGATCTTTTTTTCTGTTTATATTTGATATGTACTGTTAACAAATGCAGTTTTTTATATGTATCGTATCTTGTGCTGACCCGGCCCGTCTGTCAAATTTTAAAAGTCAATGAGGCCCCCGAGCCAAAAAGTTTGCCCACCCCTGGAGTAGACAGAAGAATCAATTTAAGTTTTAAAAAGTGATGTCTGAACTGTAATTGATGGTTCTTAATAATGAAAATAGTTCACACAACAGAGATGGTCACTCTGAAGTAGAATGTTCTGCCCCAATTTATGCATCCCCATTGAAATATCTTACCTATATTTCAGAAGTAATTTTAACACCGCAGAACGGATTACAGGAGTTTTATCCACCACATCATCAAAGGGGGACAAAGATTTGGTATGCAAGCTTTCAGGGCCTAAGGATATAATGCAAATTAGTCTGGAAAAATAGTACAATCCTTCCCTTTAGGTTAGAGCAATCTCAATAGATGTTATGATCATACCTTTCAAAATTGATTTTTGGACAAACATCAGATTCAATAGCTCTACAATCACACATTTATCTGGGGGATTATTGCCTTTGAAACACATTGTAGAAACCAGGTCTATGAAAAAATTGTTGCATAATTTACGGAACTGGGCGTTTTTCTTTATGGCAATGCTGTGGAGAAAATAGTAAGTTATTATTTATCTAGTAAAGTACCAAGAAATGCAGAGCCAATGCAGCAATTGAAAGTCCTCTGAAAAACTTATCTGCTGGGTAAGAAGAACAAGACTCACCTGTGCTCCTCAGACACTGTGGGATTGTAATCATCTGGTAGACTGACCAAGCAAAGTGGACAGATCATCTGACCGGGACACAGCCATTGTTTGATACAACCATAACAATATGCATGATCACAAGGAAGGTTTACTGGATTGGTAGGATCGCCCAAACATATTGGGCATGAGTTTAAACCAAACCTGTGAAATCAAGAGGGAAACATGTAAGTAGCAATATGTACTTAATTACAGAGATCAAAATGAGGTAGTACCATAGATAATCACTGTTCTACCCGTCACATTTGTTTTTACTTAGAGTATTTGTATGCTGCCTGTTCCTAACATGGTCCAGGGCTGGTTCCAGAAATACAAAAGCAGAAAAACTACAATTAAAATACCTTGCCAAATAAGTTTGCTTTAAGCCCTCCCTTCAAAAGTAGGGGTTTGCTTTAACCTCAGGGCCAATGCCTTCCCTCATACAACTTCTCTCACAGGAAAGGTAGAGTTAATCACAGCTTTCTTAATGAATCTATGCAAAAACTCACCAATAGTGTTTCAGAAATGACCTGAAAGTGTGGGGCATGCTCTGTCAAGAGTAAGCAATCCTCAACTAAACTTGTCGTAAACCAAGAACATTGTGATCCCCTTGTATTGGAACCACAAAGCCACCAACAACTAGAAAAATTCTTTCAGCATGGAAGTTATGCCAGACCTTTGGGAGGTTCTGCTACATTGTGATTTATTTACAATTTCTGGACCACCTTTAAGGAAAGCCACAGATAAAGCACATTATAATAATTTGATTTTGAAGTTACCAACTTATGAGTTACCATAAATTGGTTTTTTTCCCCTCCACGTGATGCAACTGAATTATAGGCAAAGTTCAAAAAAGTCCTCCTTGCCACTTATGCTTCATGGCTGTTTAAGAGTAGGAATCCCAAATTATAAAGCTGATTTTAAGAAGCCCGCAAGCACATTAAGAAGAAACATTTCCCCTGAACTCTGAAATCTAGCCCTGAGAATCAGCAGGCATTCAGTATACCAAAGGTTAAAATAGTTTAAGGTTCTGTCTCTTTTCCTAGTGATTCCCTAACATCTTTATTGATACCAATTAACTTAGACTTACTTTCTAGGCAAGAATTTTATTTCAAATATATGTGGCCCTTTTCTCTACTATTCACATATGAACAACTTGTAAATGTTCCCACTGAAAGCCAGTCCAATGTATTATAGTCTGGTTGTTTAAATTAGTTTGGGGAAAAAACAGTTCTTCTTTAATTTTATTCAGATTTCTGTGTTATGTGACAGTGAGATAATAAACATCAAAAAAAAGGACTAACACATTGATGAATATTGAAATAGATTGGATGTTGTTGCATATTCTGAACCTATGTCTGTGACCTTGTGTAAGCATTTTTTCCGTTGCTCTTTTTCCACCTGCACAGGGAAGGAGGAGATAGCATAGAAGATGATAACACAAATCTATAAAGGCAGAAAGGAGACATTCATTTATAAGGGCTCTTACCTATGCTACCTCTACCTACAAAGATAGTTTAGAGAGCCAGGTTGAGTTACTATACGTCTTGACCTTTTTGTTAAATGCCAGGTTGAGTTCCACCAGAAAAGAAAAACATTTGTGATATTTTTTGAAGACTTCCTCACAATACGGATCATTCCACTCCTAAAGCATTACCTGCAAAATGATTGACTGGCTTCTCCCTTGCACTGACATAGCAATCTCATCACTGCAGTGAATGTTCTCCCTTTTTTGATGTCAGAATCCCATTGAAAACACTGGGAGAGGAGAGTGGGGAGAAAAATGCCATCGGTAAAATTTCTAAAACATGTTCTCTCATTTACCGTTTTAAAAAATATTTAAAATGCTTAAATTATCAAACCTTTTAAAAACACAATTTTAATTTTAAATTAATAAGGAGAAATAAAACACAAGGATGGAAGATCAAAAATAACTGATTGCAGAAACAAGTTTTCAAATTGAGAAAAAAGCAAAATACCTGCATATTAAAATGACTTGTGAAATGTACATTATTTCAAAATAGTTATGTTAAGATGTGGATCTAGAATGAACTTTTCTAACAACATCTGTTCTGAAAAATGATTTACCTCTTAAGCAATGATAAAAAGTGCATCTAGATTTTCATGGCCAAATAAAATAAACCAAGGGCTAAATATAAAATTCTTCACGATCCAAAGGAAAGAGGATTAAGATTATTGATTTTTAAAATTTGCAGCGTGTTGTTTGGTTTCAATGAAAAAGTGGGTATTGTTGAAAAATAAAAGAATGTTAGAATTAGAGTACTATAATCAGAGGTGCAATTGGCATGGCTTTTAAGCTTTTACTTTAAGTTAAAGTAAATGGAGATTATAAAAATCATTATGTGACAAATGCCACATTAAAAATATGGAATAAATACAAGCCCAGGCTGTGCCTGAAAATACCTTTTTGGTCTCAGCAAAGGAAACATTTTACAAAATAGAATAAATGGTTAAGTATCAAGTTCTATTAATATATAGGAACTTGGAGAATTCAAGATAAAATCAAGAGAACAACTGACCACAGAGGAATATAGACAATTGTCATGGTAACAAGGTCAGCCAATGAATATGCTTAACAACTCAAACAGCCAATAGGATAGTTTGTAAACTGAAACTAGAAGTAGCCTAGGCTGGAAACTAAAACTAAAAGTAGCCTAGGCATAGCAGCTATATTAAGCTCTGCAACTCTGCAGCTATGTTGAGCTCTGAAGTCTATTGAAGATGAAACTAAGTCTGTTATTGAACTGTTTTTGATACTGGACTTTGTTATTGGATTATCCCTGGACTGAAAACTGACTGTTTTAACTGTTAATGACTTGGACTGTTTTGTTGAACTTTGCTTAATCGTTTTACTGGAAGTAAAAACCTACATTTTACTATACAGTGTGGCTGTGTGCTCATTGTGTGTTATTCTTCACTATTCTCACTACGTCTCCCTGTGTGAGCTCATTCTCCTAATGGGGAATTACCTTAACACACTGGCCACATCCTCCCTGACTCCGCAAAGGCAAAAAAACATCAAAACATTGTGATACTTCACAATACATCATGTGACACAATCAATTTTGACACCCTTGACCTAAACATTTAAATAGTGAAGTCTATACACCCTTTCCTCATTTAGCAACCACAGTTCAGCCCTTAAGTTGGAAACAAAATGGTCATTAAGAGAACATACAAAAGAAAGAAATAGAAAAGACACTGTAAAAGAGCACTGGTTGCTGCCCTCTGTTTTAGATAAAGTTCTCTCATAAATTGTCCTGTGCCTGACCCATTATTTTGTTCCTTTTCCCTTTTTTTGCCTCCTCACAGGACAGAGATTACATAAACAAGGTATCTCTTGATGAGTTGTTTTTCTCAAAAATTTTCCCTAAAAAGTGCTAACCACAAGTTAACAAGCCCAGGTCTTAATTAAGCTGACTGGAACCCTCCCATCAGATAACTCTGCTGCCTGAAACTGACCAGATCTTAATCAGTTTCACATGAAGGCTTTTGTTGCCAGTCATAAGAAATTTGGTCATAAATGCATGGGTCAGAAAATGATTGTTTAATTAATAAGGAGTGCTTATATTGTTGAAAACCACCTAAATAAATGAATGCTTAAAGTGGTATTTCCAATCAGGTGAGACTACCATTCTTACATTTTTAAGTTGAATGAGATACTTCTTCACCAGGTCCTTCAGTTCTGGAATCAACATTTCTGCTCCAAGCAGCACATGTTCCACAAAGAGGGACATTGAGAAAATTCTATTCCATTGGCTCCTATTGGGAAAAAAGCCCAATTTATTAAAAAGAAAAAAAGCATACTATCCAAAAGCCAAACTGAAAAACAATGGACTCTATATAATAAAAAGATCAGTCTTTTACGAAAGCAGATAAACCTATGAAGTCACTTGCAAACACCACTGCAACTAGAATAAAAAAGTTAATTTGGAAATTAACAATTGACCCAGGTCATCTTGAAACTGGGGTTAAGATGGGATCAAGTGCAGCGGGACAGAGGAACACATGTTTTGCAGAATGAACATTGGCTTACCTGAACGTTTGTTTTCTTCTGTGGCGTAGAGAGTCCAGATAGATTGGGTTAGGTCAGATCCTGTTCTAGTGGACTGAGTCCCACCCTGCGCCATGGCCACGCCTCAGCTTTCAACGAAGCACTTGGCAGACTGGACATGATTTGATAGTTGCGAGATAAAAAAGAACATACATTATTGCTCCCCTCAACCCAGACCAGACGAACCAGGGTGGGGCTGGACTCTCTACATCACAGAAGAAAACGAACATTCAGGTAAGCCAATGTTCATTTTCCTATATGTGGCTCCGAGAGTCCAGATAGATTGGGATATACCAAAGCTGGCCTGTCCCTGGGAGGACATGAGTCTGGTCCTACTCCCATTGGTGTTCAACCACGCTCTGCAGAACCCTCCTGCCAAAAGCTGCATCAACTGATGCAAAGGCATCCAAGAGGTAATGCCGAATGAAGGGTAATGGTGAAGACCATGTAGCCACTCCACAAATCTCTTCAATGGGTGCTTGAGTCGCCCATGCGGTTGGGCGGTTATTGCTGCACTTCTGGTCGAGTGAGTCATCAACCCCTTGAGGCATCGGAAGAGACCTGCTCTGATAAGCCTTAGCAATGCAAGCCCTAATCCATCTGCCCATTGTTGATGGAGACACTTTCAACCCCATTGTACCGGCTGGAAAGACTTTCGGATAGAATGTGTCCTTCAGATGTATATTTTTAAGGTTCAAAAGGTTCAATCATTAAGACACTTAACACCTTAGGAAGAATCCCAAGTGGGAAATCTGTGAACCACAGGAGGTCAAAGTTTGGTGGCCCCTTTTAAAAACCTCTGGATGGTTTGGTTCTGAGACAAGGACCCCTTCCTTTGTAAGAACAATACTGAAGAAAGGGCGGCCACCTGTTTGTGTAGTGTTGAGCTGAGAGCCTTTTGTCAAGACCTCTTGTAAAAAATCCAGAATGTTGGCTACTGAAGCCGAAGAGGGGGAAATTCCTCTCTACCCAAAGGCCCAAACATTCAGCCTCTAACATTAAAGCCTTAGATCTGGTGCCACCCTGCCTGTTGATGTGAGCCTTGGTGGCTACATTATCTGTTAAAATTAGGACATGTGTGTGATCCCATCGAATCACTGTCAATTCTAACCAATTAATGTTCTTTCCTCTCACCAAAACAGAACATTGGCCTTGGGCCAACTGTGACTGTAAATGTGGCCCCCAGCCGGAGAGGCTGGCATTGGTAGTGATTACTATATGGGGCGGCTGTCTGAATAATTGACCGAAATTCAAAGCCTGAGAAAACCACCATGATAAGAACTGCTTGACAGACCCGGGGACTGTGACCCTGAGAGATGAATGACTTCTACCCGCCTTTTGGTAGGGCAACAAAAATCACTGAAGCTTTCTGGAGGGTAGTCTAGCCCAGGGGTCGCCAACCTTTTGGACCTCAGGGACCACCAAACTCATAATTTTTGATCCCAGGGACCACTAACCGGTTCTGTGGGTATGGCCTAATTTGTGGGTGTGGTTTGGTGGTCATGTGACTGGCTGGGCATGGCTTGTATGTAAATATTATAAATATTTATATAAATATTGAATTTTTTTTATAAAAAAGAGCAACTTTTACCAAAAATCAGGCATAGCAGGCAGGCAGATTGAGTTGCTCACAGAATCACAGATCCATTCAGAGATCTAGCTATCTGCCATTGGCTAGCTCAGTCTGTCACATAAAATTTGCTTGCAATCAAACTCACAAAATTAACTCACAACACATCATGTATGTAAATATTGATTTTTTTATAAAAATAAGAGCAATTTCTACCCAAAATCAGGCAAAGCAGGCAGATTGAATTGCTCACAGAATCATTCAGTGATCTATCTATCTGCCTTTGGCTAGCTCAGTCTCTCAAATTTGCTTGCCGTGAGTCTGCACTGAATTTGCTTGCAAGCAAACCTTCAGTCCTAAGGGAGGTTCAGCAGAGCCGAAGATCTAAAGATTAGCTAGAAAGCAAGAAATCCAACCATTTCCTGCTTCCTAGCTAATCTAAATCTCCCTGCACAGTAGAACAGAAGATGGTTGGAAAAAGGAAAAATAGCAATTTTAGCAGGCAAGTTTGCCGGGCAAGGAGTAAGTGGGCAGGGAGCGTTCCTGCAGGCCCTGTGGATGGCGCAGCCTCGTGTTTCTGCGCTGCCTGGATTAATTGCTTTGGGGTGATGCTTTGGGCGTGAGATTTCTCTGTGGCCCACCAAAATTTTCTCAAGGCCCACCCGTGGGCCACAGCCCACCAGTGGGCGACTGCTGGTCTAGCCCAAGGCACGATGAAGATGCAAGAAATCGTCTTGTAAACTGTCTTTGTGTTCCTGTGAGAGGAATACCTTACAAGACACTGTAAATCTTAGATCCAAGATGCAATAAACACGTAGATGGTGAGAAACAATTTTTCTTGTTGTTAATTGAAAAGCCATGGTCTTGTAATAGGGACAATGTCACTTGGAGATCCTTTAAGGCCCAGTCATGTGAGGATGACTGCATCAAAATGTCATCAATGTCAGAGTATATTCATGAACTGGAATAGAGCTTGGTAATAAGGTCAGCCAATGAGGATAGTTTGGAAACTGAAATTAGAAGTAGTCTAGGCTGGAAACTGAAACTAAAAGTAGCCTTGCTGTGGTTCTATATTAAGCTCTGCAACTCTGCAGCTATGTTAAGCTCTGCAGCTATGTTGAGCTCTGAGTCTGTCTATTGAAGATCTAACTTGCTTGCTTGCTGAAGACTGGAGCTCGGCTCTGTACTTGAAACATGTTTCTGCTTGAGTTTGCTCCATGTTGGAGAAATCTACAACTGGTTTGTAAAATCTACTTATGTTTATAAAGAAGCATCAGCCATCTGTGTTTATTTTTCTGTTGCTCAATTATCACTGCAAAACTCTCAATAATCCAGGTAATACTGTACTTTACTGGGATGGTTCTCAAGCAAGCTGCCAAGGCAGCAAAGACCTTAGTAAACACCCTGGGTGGAGAGGATAAACCAAAAGGCATAGCCCTATATTGGAAGTGTTTTCCCTCGTAGCTGAAGCATAAATATTCCCTGTATGTATGACAAATTCTGATGTATAGATAAGCCTCTGTTAAATCAATTGAAGCGAGGAAGTCACCCTCCCTGACACCCTGTAAAATAGACTGCAGCGAATGCATCCGGAAACGCTTGTACAACAAAAATTTATTGAGCCTTTTTAAATCCAGACTGGCTCTCCACCCCCCAGAAGTCTTGGGAACAACAAACAGCCAGGAGTAGAATCCCTTGCCCTGTTGATCAACTGGAACTGACTGGATGGCTCTAATATCCAGTAGGTGTTGGATGGCCTGTTGCATTAGTTTCCTACGGGAAGCCTCCTTGGAAATGGGGCAAGGCACATAAAATTTGAGGGGTTGTGACCTAAATTCTAGGAAAAGGCCATGTCTGATGGTCTTTAAGACCCAAGCGTTGGATGTGGTAGCCTCCCATCGGGCCGCAAAATTGGATAACCTACCCCCACTGCTGCATTTAGCGGGAACACCAGAAAAAGCAACCTTCTCCCCCACAAAAGGGCCACTTGCCTGAAAATTGGACCTATCTCTGGCTGCTTTTTCCTGGAGGCATTCCTGGCAGTTGAAAGACTGCCTCTGAGGCCCCTGAGCCCCGCTGCTGCCCTCAGCTCTGAAAGATGACCTGCGAGTGTATGGTACCACTCTGTAACTGGAACGCCTTGCCAGAAAAGGAAGGTATTTTTTTTTATCCCTGGTCTCCATGAGATGGGGATCTATTCTAAGACCTCCCCAAACAATTTATCCCCCTTGATGGGGGCAGATGCTACCTTCCATTTCTGCTGTCATTGGCTTGCCAGTTTTTAAGCCAGATCATTCTGTGGGCTGCTACAGACATAGCAATGGCCTTTGAAGCAAATCTGGCACTGTTTAAAGTGGCATCTGCAGTAAATTCGGGCATTGCCACAAGTTTATTGATGTCTTGGTGCAATCGGGCATCTGAGTTGGGGATCCTGTCCTGCAGTTGGTGCAGCCAATGTAAGGAAGATCTCATAATGAATGAGGCAGCCAAAGCAGCCTTGACCGCCCAGGCAGCCACCAGGTGTGTACGTTAGAGGGATTGTTGATCCTCTTGTCCTCTGCCTTCAATGCCTCCTCTGGATCAGTGGGGTTTGAAGAGGAAGAAATTAAGGCTGCAACCGGACCGTCCACTGATGGAACCTGTAATGAGCTGGTAAGTTCAGGCCCCATATTAAAGCAGCGGTGCTCGATGGCCGATAACATGGCAGATGTTCCCAGGGATGCCAGCTGTTTCTTGATAACATTCAAAAATAATCTAAGCACTGGAACCATTTCAGCTGAACTGTTGATTCATCAAAATATTGGTCTGAAGGAGCAGCAATGTCCCCTTCCACTTCCCCGACATCTGCTTCTGGTCCCAACTGGGCCGTCTTCCTGGCCTTAAACAATAAGGTCCTGAACTTTTGAGAATCAAAGATTCTGGTGAAGGAAGGTCTCTCTGGGGCCATTTCTTTGTCTGCCGAGAAATCAGATTCCTTCTTGTCTTCCTCTGGTGTTTTATGTGTAATGCTATGTACGGAGGGGTCAGGAGAAGCCCTGTCCCTTAAGGATTCTCTGCTTGTCTCATGAATGGACTGTTGCAGGTCTGAATGTTCTGACACCGCTGATTCAGGCCTCCTCATAACTTGGAGGCCCTTCCACAATGCCTTGCCTTAGGGCTCTAGAGATAATTTCCTCCATGTGCGCAGGAAATGCTGTTTCACCCTCTTCAGAACTGCACAAGCCAGCAGTTGTGAGTGTATAAGTTGCTGCCACTCCTGGTCTGGCTCTCTTAGGAGGAGGTTCCCTAGTTTCATCCTAGCAGAATCCTTTGTAATCTGAAATTCCCTGTAGAGGGTGTGGATTAGCAATAGCAAATGAGTTATCAGGTAACCAGGCTTGTAAGCAAGGTCCACTAGTGGAGGTAGAAGGCCCAGGCTCCATTTGTAAAACTGGAGGCAGAGCCAAAGAGTCTGACTCCTCTGGGTCTGGTGATTTCCGGCTCCTCCCACCAGCAACTCCCTGCTTTTCTGGAGCCTTCTGTCTTCTCAAAGCATCCTGCTTCTCTGCCCTGGAAGGTTTCTTGGGTTCAGGGGCCTTTCTTTTCTGCCTGCCCCTACCCACATGATCACCTCAGTTCTGTAACTGAAATCACAGCCCTGGCAACATGGTCGATCTGCGTCCTCAGCTGGGGTAGATCCAGTCATCACCAGTCTTCAGCGCGAACCACTGCCACGCGGCTGCGTCCCCCAGCTGGGATCGGGCCAATTGCCCAATCAAGTGGCTGCCTTGTGCTGCTGCAAAGCCTCTTCTGGGCCAACTGCCCTCTGAGCCGCTGCTGCACTAAGCGCTTCGCAGCCAAAAAGATCGCGATCAACAGAAGTAAAAGAAAAAGAGAAACAAGCCGATTGCTTGTGTTGCCGCCGCACTACTGCGCTAAACAGCTGATGGCCTTATCGGCCCGATCGCTTAGAGCCTTCTCCACGTGGGCGGGGCTCCGCACACTAGAGCAGCAGCCCCAGAACAGATCTCCAAGAGTGGAGGCTGAAAGCCTCTTTGACTTGGCTGCAGGATCCTCCAAAGTATTTTCCTGCAGTTTAAAACTTTTTTTCCTTTTGAAAAAAGCAACTCCCGTCCTGTCCTGGCTGGACCAAGTCAAAAACTGGGGTGTGGTCACAATACAGGGCAGAGCTTCAGTTTGAACACAGATTCAGTCCACTAGAGCAGGATCTGACCTAACCCAATCTATCTGGACTCTCAGAGCCACAGATAGGAAAAGTCTCTTGCCAAAAGACAGCTTAAAGTACGCATAGTCCTCTTGAACCAATCTAGCTTCAAAAAAATCATAGCATTCTATGTAGCCCCCAACATGCTTGCTGCTTTGCAGATTCAGAATCAACCTATGTTAGGATTTAGACAACAGGAACTAACAGTATTTAGAGCATGCCATTACCATAGGAAGTCAACTTACAAAGTTGGCCAGAAAAAACCCCAGCAACCTATCAATAGAAAAAAGCAACCGTAAAATGATCTTTACCACAACAGAAAGTAGATACAAATTAACATTTCTACAATCCTGAACTTTTTACTTACTTGACCTCTTGGAGCATTTGGCTGCATTGGCTTCCACTGTCTTGGCTGCTATTTGCTGTGCACACAAGTTCAATGGGCATTTGAAGGTCCTTCACCTGTTGGAGCCATGCACGAGTTTTCTGTTTCAGGACTGCCGAGGATAACATTTCAGTACAGGCCAGCGCAGCAAACACATCTAGCACCTATGGCAAACAGGCATACGGAAGCCTCTTACCGCACACGTGTAATGTAAAAACATAGCGCTTTATCCTTCACTGAGAATCACATTATTGAATCTAGGCATCCTTTGGTAAAGAAAACTACCTTGGATTTTGATGCCCTCACTCCATTATTGTGCCTTTGTACTTTGTTAAACATCTGACTAGTATGGTGATATAAAAATCAAATACATAAATTGTTTCCTAAATGAATCCAAGTAGTTCTCATTTAGCAACTATCTTGTTTAGCTATGATGGTTACAGAAAAGTAATTTTATTATCAATCCTGTGGTTAGAATGCTGTACTACAGGATACTTCTGCTGATTGCCAGTTGACTGCAATTTGGCAGTTCGAATCTCACCGGCTCAAGGTTGACTCAGCCTTCCATCTTTCCGAGGTGGGTAAAATGAGGACCCAGATTGTTGGAAGCGATATTCTGACTCTGTAAACAGCTTAGAGAGAGCTGTAAAGCACCGTGAAGTGGTATATAAGTTTGAGTTGTTAGTATTGCTATTATTTGACCCTGCTTGGGAGATTCTCCATGTATTCTTATTACAAAGCAAATACAAACATTGAGTATAGCCTGTAAAAAACATTTTGAAGACATGTCTGGAACTCCTGCTTTGCAGACAGATTAATTTCTCCCGGCTAAGAATATGGAGAGAATCCCAGTTTCCCCCCACCCCCAGGTGTCATGTTTTCCTATTAAAAGTTAAATGTTACAGCCCACCTACCATTTGGCTTTGCCATATGCCTCCTTTGTTTTCTCTTTGTTCAAGGGTATGAAGCACTTCAGGGTACACAGCAATAATGCGGGAAAAGTTCTGCAGACGACTCTTAAACTGATGATAAGCAAGGTGGACCCAAGGAAGGGAGGGCACTCCTGCTTCTGCACTGGAAGAGGTGGCCTTCATTTCTTCCACACAGGTCAAAAGGGCCACGTGCAGCATCTGAAAATACACAGCAGCGTATTTGAAGGCGATTCTCGTCACAATCACCGGATGAATCGTAAGGATTTAAGTAGTCTTTCCAATACATGGGAAACATTTATCTGAGTGTCATATAGTGGTAATTAAGTGCAAAGTCTACCTACTAACTGGCACACAGTACAGCATACAGCTTTGGGAATCATGAAGCAAGCATTGGATTCCCATATCTATCCATCTGGGATTGAAATACGCACATTTAGTTCCCTCTCTGAAGTCACACCCATTGCCAGGAGAATGAAGTCTCTGACATAATAATAAAAAAGGACGGCCTTGTCTTCCTCTGAGTAGGAAGCAATGTGTTGGCCCAGGGGTGTCATCCGAAAGATGTCTAGAAACTTCTCTGCATGGCCTGGAAAACAAAACAGGATTTAAATGGTTTGGCATCTCCCCCAGAAATAAAGTCAACCAGTCCTCTTTTAACACGTAAAACCAATTTAGTATGAAAAATACAGATTTTCTTGATTTTGTGTTTTACTTAATTTATCAAATTTTTATTCTGCTAATCACACTTATGTGACTTTGAGCAGTTTACAAATGATAGGTGCTAATTTGAGCCAAATATGCCCCAAGATTTTCAAACAAAGGGACCTCTTTTTAACTTTCCCGATATTCTCACCTTCATTCTTAGTGACATGTTGTGCTTGAACCCGAAGATCTTCCAAATAATCCTTTATCTTCCAGCTGAAAGGCATTTTATTGCCAGTCCCTGGAGACACTTCCATGTCATTCTGCACCTGAATTGGTTTTGTTTGAGAGCTAAGGAAGATAAAGTAAAGTTCATATGAATAGATGCTTTTTCAATATATTTTGAATGTATTAATGTAAAAAAAGTCAAGCAACGTATAATGAGATATATTTTAATTTAGTACACATAACAATGTGATCAGTTTAAAGACAGATACTCAATGGATTGATGATTATATGGTGGATGTATTTTAATACACATCATTTTCTATATATTGAATAAAAGAAATATCATAGCATAAAGTAAATCTGTTTCAATTTGTTTTACTGAAACACTTCCTTTGTTTACCTTGCTCTTTCATCAAAACGTTGGTGATTGGAGATATTTTTCCCCTTATCTTTTAGCTATGTTCAACAGCAGTGGTAATTGGGACAAACTTTTCATGAACAAATTTTTTTAATAAGCCATGCTCACTGAAAAATGAACAGCTAAACCAGAATTGCACATCGCTGACATAGCTATATACCACATTATTCCTTCCTATTTACTTCAAATGCCTTTTATTTCTCTCTCCACCTTCTTCCCACAGCTTACCTGCTCTGACCCATGACATAAGGGATGTCTAGAAGTTTTAGTTCATTGAAGATAAATAACCACAAGGTTTTCACACAATCTTCTGTTCCTGGTTTGACCAGCAAATCCAGATTATAATCTCTGTCCAAAATAGATACCATGTAGGCCAGAAGTGGGGTCACCATACTCTGGGTCCGTTTCCACAGCGTGCGTCTATATAAACCAAGAGAGGAAAAGCACCCAACATGGCATCATCTCACATTCTAAAGAAACCAGACTCAAATGTCATTTTGTTTTGTTTCAGCTGATTTGGTTAACTTCCTAGTGCATTAAAGATACTTCAGAAAAAAATTAAAAACTCCAGGTGCATAGTTTTATTATTGAAAAAGATTAAAACTTCAACGAGTGAAGTTTTAATCAGTTAAATTAATTAAATTGCAATTAAACTAAGTCTCCCAGCAGCTGCCATATTTGGATTAAAGGCAGTGTTTTAAACTGAGCAGTCAGGGTTGTTTTGTTGTTGTTGTTTTTTTTTTGGGGGGGGGGGGGAAACAGACCCAAAACAGGTGGCCCCAGAGAGTACTTGATTAATACTTGAATGTAATGCCTTATCTATATACTATACCTAAATGTTCCTCCTTCCTGGAGTGCAGTAAGGTTGGAAGCCTCTCGGAGCACCCACTCTTTCATACTGAAAGAATTTTCTTCCTGTTTCTTCAAAAGGCAAGTAAGACGGCTCTTTGTAATCTTCAGGAAGTTGCCTGTTTGGGGGTGGGGAGAGAAACAGCATAATTTTTATTCTTATAAAAATTTTATAGCCACTTTTTAGGATTATATTTCATACAAGATGAAAGAAGCTACTGATGGGTAACTCCGATTTTAAATCAAAATTAACATTTCCTGGTCTTTTGCTTGATGATCCTACTTAAAATCATATATTTGCTTCCCTAAGAAGAGATACTTAACTTACAAACCTTTATCATTACCTTCAATAATTTGAGTTTATTTAGGAATTATTGGGTGCAGATTATAGTCCCTAATTTTCCATGAGGAAACCTCATCCTACAGTGGATTGATTCAGACTAACAACAATCTGCTTCATAAACACACACAAACACAATCACACACACACACACACACACATACACTTGACACTTCCAAAGAAGTAGGAAAAAGGCAAGCTCTAATCTTTTGATTTTCTATGGGTCTAGTCAAGTACAATCCCTGACAGAGCAAATTACATTCTAAAAAGTAATAAAACAGAAACTGATCCTTTATTTCCGCTTTTTATTATATATTCAGTATACTCAATATAGCAAGAGGAACGTGTATTAAAATATATTTCACGTTAACAAGAGACCATGCTCCTTCTGGACATATGTATATTATATACCTTGCAGGGTATCTTCCTCAGACAGGAGGCTAAGAAGAATTTCAATTCTCTTAGCGCTACGACCGGCATCCTCATTGTCGTCTCTTAGCATGCTGACAGCACTTTGAACACAACTCCTCAAAAGAACGGTAGTATCCAAAACCTTAGACTTTCCAGGCACAGAAGAAGAAAAAAACTTTTAGCATATCCTGAAACAATGTACAATCATTTCCTCTATGGCTCTCAGGTGTGAATGAGCATCTTATTAAACTGAGCTAGACAGCCTTTTGATAGTTGAATGCCACACTTCAGAAGTATGAGATAATAATGCAAGTGTCCAGGGCCATTATGTTTCCCTTCAATGGAGAAGGCTTTCTAGAAATTATCTTTGGTGTTTCTTTCTTCACTTACTGTTTTAACTATGCTGTACTTTACTAGGGCTTACATGTCCAGTTTTTTTAAACTAGCAGTGCAAAATAATCTGACATACTTCCAAATTTGAAATTGGTTTTCTCAATCTTGTCAGAACAGTACTATCAATGGAAAAGTTCTAAGTGCAAAAGAGCCTTTTCAAGTTAAAACGGGGTATTTCCAAGCTTGAAACAGGGCCATTTGGTGTCCAGGACATTCATCTTATGGTCAGACCAACTCTTCATCTCACCCACCTGAGATCAGAACAATTGTTTCGATTGTTTTACAAAGCACTACTTTTTCTTTTCCACTACACAACAGGAAGAAATTATATCAGTCTTTTTTCATCAACTTCAGAAGGAAAAAAAAAAACTTCCAGAGTTTGGGGGCTAGATATGGCTCTGGGGCTCTAAGATGCTCACTTTTAGGTTCATCCTCAGAGTAGAGGGAGAAACGATCTTCCAGGTATCCAGAAAGAAAAAGATCCTGCCTAGATAAATACCTGTGTAAAATAAAACCAATGCAGCACTAGGAACTAGGGAGGGAGGCAGCCATCTATAGAAATTTCTAGAGAAAACAGGCACGAAAGAACACATCTGCATAACTGAAAGGGCATATGTTATTGTCCAGCTATATAAATTTCTGAAAAAGTAGATAATGGAGCTATCATAAAAATCACGAATAGTGATCCCTATGGAGTGATCAGAAATAGGAATCCTACTCTAATTATATCTGATGATTACACATGTTACTCTAATAGGGCAATGTGTGGATCATCCCAAGGTTAGAACAGATAGCTAACCATAAATATCTAGATGCAAATATGTGAAACATGTGTTATGTTATTTCTATAAGCAATTTAACTGAACAAAAAAAAGCAAGTTGCTACAAAGAAGAATATCGTTTGCTCTGAGATCAAAGGGAAACAATCAAACTGGAGTAGTGAGGCATAGCAAGACTTACACATATTTCTGGTTCGGATATTGGTGATGCCTCCACCTCCACCTCCATCTCTTCTTCTATTTCTTCTTCTTCTTCTGTCCTTGAAGCTACAATGATAAAGAAAGTCTCATATAGGAATGTAGCCTGACTCTAAAAATGATGGTGGGAATTACTACGAACTGTTGGAATTAAGCACTACATAAACATGCAGTTGAACTTCTTACTTTCAGGATTCTCTGCAGACTCTCCCGTATTTTCAGAAAATAGCTGGCTGATGGTAACGTTTGTGAGGGATGTTATATCAGAGATCATATCCTTGGAGGTTCTTAGATCATCAATATGCACAGACTGCCACAGCCCTAAAAACAACAGGTGATATTTCACAGCTATTACCTGCATTCCCATTAATCGTTTCTGAGGAAAACTACTTAACCTAACACAGGGAAAGGGTAGGATAATACAATAATGTATCTTTTACCATGTAACAGCAAGGGCCTTCATTAAATTAACTTGCAGGTATTGTACATAAAATTGAAGTTAAATACATCCTTTCAGTTTGGCCAATCATATGTCTCAAGGAAGGAGTGTATGTAGAGAGGGCAAGGACAGGATTATGGGAAACCAACAAATATGTTAGCCTCCGAACAAATCATGGAAAAGCCAGGAGGGAAAATATTACAAAAGTCTGAAGGGGTATACTATTTTTATTACAGGTAGTCCTTGACTTACAAAAGTTCATTTTGTGACCATTCAAAGTTACAGTGGCAGTGGAAAAAAAACTTATGACCATTTTTCACAGTTATGACCGCTGCAGCATCCCCATGGTCATGTCATTTATATTCGGATGCTTGGCAACTGGCATGTATTTATGACGGTTGCAATGTCCCAGGATCATGTGATCATCTTTTGCCATGTTTTGACAAGCAAAGTCAATGGGGATGCCAGATTCACTTAACAACCATGCCACTAATTTAACAACTGTAGTCATTCACTTAACAAATGTGGCAAGGAAAGTCGTGGAAAGTGGAGATACCTCACTTAAAAAATTTCTCACTTAGCAACATAAATTCTGGGCTCAATTGTGGTTGTAAGTCGAGGACTACCTGTATACATTTGTATTTCTATTAAGAGAAAAAAATGGAAAAATAGATTTTGCATTTATAGCAACATGAAGTAGAGCAAATCTCCAAAATTAAGAGATGCTTTATATAGAGAGCCAGTTTGCTCTAGTGGTTAAGACAGAGACTAAAAAGCGGGAAACCGTGAATTCTAGTCCCGCCTTTAGGCATGAAAGGCAGCTGGGTGACTTTGGATCAGTCACTCTCTCTCAGCCCAACTCACCTCACAGGATTGTTGGTTGTGGGGAAAATAGGAGGAAGGTGTGTTGTGTATGTTCACTGATTGAGTTATTTCTTAAGACACCACTTTTGTCTTAAAATGCAAGCTAAATAACAAAAGGCAATGGATGTAAGGAGGTGATGAACTTAAGAACAGAAAGGTATGAGTGAATTTTTGGTATACCATTGCCCAGCCACATACATTGGACAAACCAACAGGAAAATAAATGCATGCATTGCAGAACACAAGAACGCAGTCAGAAAAGAAGAAAATACTTCCTCCTTTTCCAGCACCTTAAAGCCACAGGACATGAAATTAATTTTGAGGGAACCAAATTAATCTCCAATACTGAACAACAAGAGAATAATCAGGGAAGCCATCGAAATAGAGAAACACTCCCAAAACATGAATAAACGGGACGATACTTCTTACCTACCAGACATCTGGAAACTAGCCCTTATCAACAAACGAGTCCCAGCCACGAAAACCAACACCAGACCCAAAACAACACAGGATACCACCACCAATCTCCCTCACCAGACTCAAACCCAAACCCACCCCATAGATGAAAGGGAACCACCATCCAGAAACCAGACCATGGCTGCATCACCAGCTGCCACACGCCCCAAACCAAGCAAACTGACACATGCTATGAACACATAGTCAGGCCTCAAACTCGGAGCCAAACCAAAACCCGGAACATCACATCACAGTCACCTGCTCAGGTTATCACATCACAGAACTCAGGAGGTTACACCACAAAACCTCAGGATGTTACAACACAGCCAACGACCCAGGAGATTACAGCACAAGACCCAGGATATCAAAACAATAGAACTCAGAAGGTCATCACACAGCCCATTACCCAGGTCGTTACAACTCAGGAGATTACAGCACAAGACCCAGGATGTCAAAACAATAGAACTCAGAAGGTCATCACACAGCCCATTACCCAGGTCGTTACAACACAGGAGGCTGATAAACACACAGCCAATACCTCAGCCACACATATTCTTACGAAAAAGCCAGCCAATCTGCAAACATCAACTCCATCAACCAATCAAGAAATGACAACACAGCCAACCTCCCCACCAGTATTTATAGAGAGACGGCAGCTCCAATCACGCTTTGCTGGCACAAGTATGAAGCCGAAAGCACCAGCCTGAAGATGGCGAGTGGGACCTCATCGAAACATCACCAAGATACTCTCAATCTTACATGGAAAAAGACCCGAACACACCAAGATCTGCACACACACACACACACACACACACACACACACACACACACTTCCTTTTTTCTGTATGTGTTATTTCCTTTGACTTTTTTGATGGCCCTTTGGCCATAAGAAATTGATTTGAGTTGGCTTTCCTTTAAGCCTTTTTTAAAATTGTTTTTTGCATTTTGCATAAATTCATTCATCCCAAAAGAGAATAGCATAATGGATATGTAAATAAGTATGGCTGACCAAACTTGAAGAATATCTACTAACAGTGAAAATTAACAGCATATATCCAGAACAGAAGTTTGACTAAATTTAAGCAAGAATGTTTCCCTATATAATACATGCCACATATAGGATACTGCCTGAGCTCCGTACCTTAATTTTTTATTGGAGTGAGATCCAATAATGGCAAAGAGGATTTTCTTTTTCTTTGTACTTCAAGAGACTCAGAACTGGAGGGGTAACATTAACTGCATTAAACCTATTTAACAACATATAGTTTCCATGTTTCCTAACTAAATATGGCAAGAAATCACATCACTGATTTTCAGCAATTTTTGTCACCAAGGTTTTGTGATCTCTTCAGAGAGTGCACTGTGGACCACGAAGAGGTTTGGGGTCCAAATGCAACCTATAGGCTGAGGGTCCCATCCTGATTTATGATATGGTATTATTATGGCTTTATTTCAGAGCTATCTTGACGCTGCACACAATGATTACTGTAGTAAGTAATAGAAGCAGCACAGGAATCTCTATGTGATAAATAAATAACATGTACAAATGAAACAAGTTTCATACCTTGATGCATTTGCAGAGCTGCTCAAAATATTCTTCTAACAGATGTGAAAAATACAATAGCTGTATTTATGAATGATACACAAGAAAATTTGCAAGAAAATTATTTGACATAATAAATTTTTCATCTTATTTGTAGCCTTGTATTAGAAGCACAGCTCTACACTGCAGTAATCTGTAAATCGCATTGCTGGGACCATTTGTCAGAGGAAGCAGGAAGCAATCCTGATGCCATAGCAGCCCCTTTAAACAGACCTCCAGCCTCCTTGTTCTGTATTCTTGCACATATGCCAGCCTACCTCCGTGAAATCCTATGTAGCAACTTCCTCCTTCGATTCGTGACAGCTTAGTGATGAAAATTATAAACACCCTGGCTTGATTCTCCTGTATTTTGTTGACTTCATTAACAGCTGAATACCTGTAAGGGAAGAGAAACAGGTATCACTCTTTTGTGAAGTTAAAGCATTCGCCTGCTCAACAGCTCCCATTATTTCAGCACAGATAAATTTTATTCCCCCACCTCATTCTGATATATGGTACTAAGATAATGAATAGATCCACAAGGTTCTCTATGAAATTAGAATATTGGTCTGGAGTCTATGTAAGTCTATGAACTTGGCTGGCTTATAAATATGGTTAAACACATTACACCAACTATTAATTGATTATACTGTATGCTTGGTATTGCTTATCTAATACCTTATCTAACAGGTGATTTACCTGGCTGAGGCAATGAGCTGGGCACTGAGTGATTCATTTTCAAAGTCAGTCTGAATAATGAGGATTTTACTCCCATCAGTCCTCACAGCAAAAAAATTCCTAAGAAAATACAGAAATGTTTAAATGGGCTTTAATTTGTTGCAGAAAGAATGGGTCATTCACACCCAGACCTTTATTTAAAACAATGTCACTTCTCCAAACACCCCAGCAGTTTGAACAGTAAAATAACTTCATTGCAATCCTCCAATTTATGTTTTTCAATTCAACTGCAAAACTCCTCTATCGTATGAAATTTATTCTATTAATCATTTATTCCATTACAAGCACTTTTATGCCACTTCGAAAAAAATAGAAAATATAAATCTGTATTATTCTGTAACCATTGTGGATGAAGAAAACTCACCGAATATCCTTCAAAAATGAGTACTCTGTGTCAAATTGTTGTAAGAACAAAACTTTCAAGCTGTCTGAATTATGCTGCAATTCTGCCTCCAAAATCTCTGTGTCTGCTGCAGTCAGGAGTCTGGAGAAGGTCGTCATCTATAAGAGTTAAGACAGTAGGTTTTTCTGTCAAATATTAACGAAGTTTTCACAGAATGGTCATGCAATCTCTTGTTTTTTATTATCCAAGTGGAAATATTTTTCCCTTCCTTTCCTCTACACACATAGGAAATTCTCATTTAGTGACCCACAGTTGAGAACAGCAACTTGTTCATTAAATGAAGGACTTGCTAAGTGAAACCTTGATTGTCCCTATGAGCTTATTTCAGCTTTCATTTGCTTTACACACCTATGAAAATCATAAACGTGAATATTCTTCATTGCCATCATAACTGCAAATGGCGATTACATGAGGCAATCATTAAACAATGGCTAACAATATAGGTTTGGGGACTTGGTATAAAATCAGGAAGGATCTAATGCTATCAGTTAGGTGATTACAAAAAGATCAGATAATTTCTAATCATTTTAGATTAGAAATTTTATTTATTAATAACATTTTATTTATTATCTAAATTTGTATCAGCAAGTTCCTTTGTTTCTATTACTCAGAAATAGTACTGAAGTAGCAATAGCAATAGCACCTAGACTTATATACAGCTTTATAGTGCTTTACAGCCTTTTCTAAGTGGTTTACAGAGTCAGCATATTGCCCCCAACAATCTGGGTCCTCATTTTACCCACCTCAGAAGGATGGAAGGCTGAGTCAACCTTGAGCCTGGTGGGATTCGATCTGCCAAATTGCAGACAGCTGGCTGTCAGCAGTAGTTTGCAATATTGCACTCTAACTACTGCGCCACCAAGGCTCTTTGTTTGTTCCAAAGAAAGTTATGCCCCATTTCAATCATTCCAGACTCTTACACTGAAAGAACACTGGTTTCTCAACCTTTCTGCCAGAGATGGAGATGCTATAAAAACATTTTGAAGAGAAAATCTTATTTCAATTTCCTCAGCTAGAGTCTTCTTGAATCTTGGGATTCTGACAAGAAAGTGCATTTCTATATCCTAAATATCTCCAGCAGGTATTTTTCATTTCAAAACTTTAAGTATTCAAACCATATAATATCACAGCAAACATCCAAATTTCTTGAAAATAACAATTCACCAATGTAAGAAACGCAAGCTTTGGGGAGAGGTAGTCAGTTAACAGATAATCAGCGTTGGAAGGGACCTTATAGGTCATCTAGGCCAAAGCGGGAGACCGTACACCATTTCTGACAGATGGCAGTCCAATCTCTTCTTGAAAGTCTCAAGTGATGACACTCCCACAACTTCCAAGGGTAAGCTGTTCAATTGGTTGATTGTTCTGTCAAAAAGTTTCTCCTTATTTCCAGGTTAAATCTCTCCTTGTTCAGTTTCCTTCCATTATTTCTTGTCTGGCCTACAGGCGCTTTAGAAAATAACTTGACCCCTTCCTCTCTGTGGCAGCCCCTCAAATATTGGAAGACTTGCTATCATGTCTCCCCTGGTCCTTCTCTTCACTAGACTAGCCAAGCCCAGTTCCTGCAACCGTTCTTCACATGTTTTAGTCTCCAGTCCCCTAATCATCCTGGTAGTTCTTCTCTGTACTTTTTCTAGCGTCTCAACATCTTTTTTATAATGTGATGACCAAAACTGGACGCAGTACTCTATGTGTGGTCTTACTAAGGCTTTATAGAGTGGTATTAGTACCTCACTTGATCTCGATTGTATCCCTCTGTTAATGCAACTTAGGATTGCATTAGCTTTTTGCACATGGCTGGCTCATATTTGGCTGGCTGTCCACTAAGACTCCAAGATCCCTCTTACAGTTACTGCTATTGAATCTGAAAATTACTACTGTAATGGAGCCTGCTCATCATGATCAGAAATTTCCTGACAGTTAGAACAATTAATCAGCGCGACAACTTGCCTCCAGAAATTGTGAATGTTTCAACACTGGAAATTTTTAAGGGATTGGACAACCATTTGTCTGAAATGATATAGGGTTTCCTGCCTGAACAGAGGGTTGGAATAGAAGACCTCCAAGGTCCCTTCCAATTCTGTTGTTCTGCTCTGCTTTGCTCTATTCTATTCTATTCTATTCATGATGATCGTAACAAATTCTACAATGCTTTTTGAGGCTGTCTTTAAGAGAATCCATGGTTGTTAAGTGTATGCAATTGTCATTGACCAAATCAATGATTTGCTATGGGCAGTTTTTCTGAAAAGTGTCAGATTTTGGCAAAACCTTCACAAAATGTGGCCAGATGACCATGGAATGCTGCAACTAGCTGTAAATACTTCTGTGTATCCAAGTATCCAAAGTTCTGTCATGTATAGGGGGCGGGGAAGACCATTGGAAGTTTAAATCCAGGCCATAAGTAGCCCCAAGGTATCCTTCCCTCACTCAAGCACACAAGCTTGAGGCTTTCTACATTAATATTATTGGAATAATTCTGTTATTATATCAGAATAAGCCGATTTCTACAACCTATTATGCAACCAAGTTTGCTTTGTAAGTATAGATGATCATATTAATGATCATCTCAACGACTTGGACTTGGTAAAAACTACTATTTTTCCCCATGTTAATGTTATTTTTATCCATCCAAAAGTGTCTCAAAATAGACTTACATCTTAAAAACTGTTTCTATCTATGATCCCCACAACAAAATAGAAAGTAACCAGCCCTAACTCTTAAGGATAATAGAAATGTATTCTAATTTGGAGCGTTTTAAAATTGTCTTTAAGCAGCTCTTGACACATATCAGAATTCACCATATTTATAAATATGAGAAAAAGGGCAACCGGGGTGGGTAGGAGGAAACAGGAAGAAACATTTAATTGCAGTTTACCTCAATAAAAACTGTATGGCCTCTGGAGTCTGACCGAAGGCACCCGTGCAAAAATTCAGCAAAGGAAGTATGCTGCTGTTGCTGAAAGTATATCTTAGCCAACTTATCTTTTAAAAAGTCCAGTTTAGAGTCACCAAGACGGACAACAGAATCTGGGGTAGCACAATTCAAGAGGACCAGCTCGGATTCCTCTTGTACTTTCTGCCTTAGCTCTGCAGAAAGAAGTGATTCTTCCAGGTTTTCAGTCACCTGCAGGACAACTGAAGCACAAGAGTCTGAATGGTAGCCAATAAAAACATCAGAAGGTCTGTACGTTTGTTGACCCATAAAATATTTCTCAGTTTTAACTGCTACAAAGTCATCCACCCATTTCTTCAAGTCTTCCACAATGGTCTTTTGCCACTTGTTCAGTACAGTATTAATATCCAGATAGTGTTTTTCAAGTCGGTTAATCAATGGAATGGGGAACTGTTCGTACACCACCTTTTTCTCTTCAATGACAATCAGTCGAAATTTGGGATGCACTCTGCATTTCACTCGATGGGTCCCCAAGCCCAAGTCAACATATTTTTGACCAGCAAGTTGGACATAATATTGATTGAGGGCATCATAGAGGCTCTCGTAAAGGTTTTGTAGGTTGAGAAGAACAACCATCTTCCCTGTCTCCATGCAAATTTTGACTCGGTTTATGTTTCTGCAAATCTGAGTGTATTCTTGATCTTTGGGAAAGCTGGAACCAAAAATAATTTCTGGTTGAACATCTCTGAAGAAACGCTGTTGGAGAATCTGAAGCGCTGCATAATTTTCTGTTAATACTAATAGATATCGGCATTCACCATCCTGATAATCACTATAAATGTTTTGCTTAACTAAATCAATTGTACGGATATCCTTATAATTTTCATCTCCACCTTCTGGAATCTTAGACATAAAAGTATCCAAGACTTCAACACCTTCTTTGCCACTGAAATTTCGGAGAACAACCTCTGCTATTTCATGAGGACCTGGTATGCTTTTAGAATTTTTTGTCAAAGCAAATAACATTTTGACAAGGCTGTAATAGTCACGCAATCCAAAAAAATCCTTAGTTTGGTTCTGGCAAATTTCTTCATACGCATTCGCAAAGATAGGAAAGAAATGCTCAACTTTCTGTAGCACAAGATGATCTGAAGAGCAAATACCTTTTGCGCTTTTTATGAGTTCATTTTTATTCAGGTTTCCACGGGATACAAAGATGCCGCGATTCATCTTAGCTGGGTCTAGGGCCCAGTTAGATATCCCAACGAAGCCAACCTTCTTGTGAGGAAGTGGATTATCATCAATGCATCCATCTTCTAAGAGAGGGTGAAGGGTCTTCAGGGGCATTTTGGGGGAGTCTTCTGCCAATCCAATTTCATCTAATACAACCACAGAGACATATTCCCCGAGGTTTTTTCCTTCCTGGAAACGAGCACAATGCTTGAATGTATTTATGATCCCCTCAGGGGTTGAATGTGGGCTGCACTGGAAAGACACCAAATGGATCTGCTTAAGTTCCTTATAAAGGTCAGAATATGCTGCTTGACCCTGCATGGCATCAGCCACAATGGTCTTGGCAAGAGATTTTGAGCTGCCCGGCTTCCCAATAAGAAACAAAGGGATTTTAAGTTCAATGCAGATTACCATCATGAACACATTTTCCTTCAAAGCCATGTTTTTTGCTATTCTTTGCCTATTAGGCACACCACTCAAAAAAAGATCCTGAATTAAGCTAATTTCTTCAAGAACTACTTTTTCATTATCATATGGTTCTGGAAATATTTCGCAGATAACTCTCCAGTATGCCTCTTTCTGTTCCAGGGAAGCATGGTAGCAAACACCAACTGAAAGAATCAAAGACCAAATTATTCTGTCTCTCTGAATTACACTTTTAGGATTATTTTCCAGAGACTTCTCCAGATGCTTAATAAGACGTTCACTGTAGCCATGAAACCATTTGAAGACTTCCACACAGCGCTCGACATCTCTGAGGCTGATAAAGCTGCATTCGTCTTTCTGCTGTCTCATGTAGGTCTGTGACTTAAAAAGTACCTCAGTAATCATTTGGATCTCAGTAGCAGACATTGGGATTGACCTGGCAAGTTTTTGCACAATCTGTTCTATGTATAGTTTTTCAGTGATATTGTTCAATTGCCCAAAGTCCCACACCAGAGGTATCATGCTTGGTGGCAGTGCATGGACACGGTAAACAAGCTGCCTAAGAGGGATGGAACCAAGCTTTTCGCTGGTGTCCTCTGCTTTGACACGATAACCCAGTCCAGCTGACTCCAAGCGCTGGATCATTTTTGGTGTGTGTTTGCGATAAGGATTGCATGCAGCTATGATCTGTAAACCTGAGTTGGGACATAAAGGTTGTCCTTCTATTGTGTGGTCACATAACACTTCCTTGATGCTGCTGACTGCGTCTGTAGTATTGGCTTCATCAAAAAATAAAATTGTGTCAAACTGATAATTCAACTTATTGTTTTGTGCCATATCTTCAGCTTCCCTGACTTTAGCGTAGATCGCATCTGCTGTGGTACCTCCATGAACTTTGACAAGCTTCAGGTTATCAGGATTGGCACCACTCTTACGCAGTTCACACAGGTATTTTATAAGCCTGGTTTTCCCACAACCCGTTTCTCCCATCAGGACAACAGGAATTCCGCACCTAAATCTCATTTCAATGGCAAGCATTTTCAGTATATTATCTGTTGTAAGTTCATAGGTTTCATCAGGATCGGTTGGCCACTGGATCCCTAAGACCATGCAAAGTTTCTCAATTTTCTCAGCTCTGGTCAGTGTATCAAAATTAATATTGAATGGAACTCTTTGAAGATGTAACCCCCTAAACAACTGACGGGTCATGACATTTCTCTTGATAATATTGCCATTCAAAGGATTGATGGCATCAATGCTGCCATTGTTATTGTACTGGAGATGAAAGCCAATGAAAGTCATAGATACACAGTCCTTATTAAAGAATATGTATGGATGGGGTTCAGTTTCCCACTTTTTCCGGAGCAGAAATGGAGCAAGAGCTTCCTCAGTAACCTCTTCAAAAACTTGCATTCCAGGGCTTTCATCAGAAATGTTAAGTGAAGGAGTTGCAAAATCCTTTGCCATTAAAATCATAAATTTGACCACAAAATTTTTAAAGCCCTGCAAAGTGTCCTGGACAAAATCAGCATTACAGAAAACAGAGGTTTCACAATTTCTCAGCTGAAGGTTAAGAAACCAAGCAAAGTTTCTAAGTTCTGACCAAGAAGGATCAATTACTCCACAGTACATCAAGAACAGCTGTAGGCATTCTTCTGGAGTCCCTTCCACTGAGCCTTTTCTATACTGGAATGCATCAAGATTTTCACCTCTGCTTTCTCTTATCAAATACTGGAATGGTCTCTGAAAAGCTTCACTGCAGAACATTTCTTGATCTACTCGGGGATCACTGCTCTCATGAAATAAATTCATCTGAATACCGTTGTCCAGTACTTCTTTAGGAGATCTGCAAGTTATTTGGGGGAATACATCAAGGAAACTGCAGTTCAGCCCTGGAAATTTCTGAAAATAAACCAGAGGGAGAAAAGGAAGGAGTTATAATACAATCAAAAGATGTTTTTTTTAAAAAAAATATTCTCTTATTTCACAAGCGCCACAGTTTTCCATGGTGTTTTAATTTTGTACTATGGAAAAGGGTTGTCAATACTGCAGAATTGTAATTACTACCAACAGAAATACTGCTGTGCTACAAGGTCATGGAAAAATCTCTTTAAGGGTCCATGGAGGGAGGAAATGGTTTAGTCCCTTGCAGAGAGTTTCATTTTAATCCCATGTAAGCAGATGTTTTCCCCCCTGTCCCTTGCTTTTTCCTTGTCACTCTGTAGCCACAAATAAATCCCTATTTTTTCCACTGTCTTAAAAAATCTTAAGATTCCACAGAAATCAGTTTTAAAATTCTACTCTAAAATACTAAAAACACAGCAAATATATGTTCTATGCCTCTGGATGTACTTACAGATCCTCTTTGTTTTTTTGGTGAGTGGGGTGGTTGCAGAATTTCTGCAATATAGAGGTGGCACTGTTTCCGAAGCCAGATTTTCCCATCTGCATCTTCTAGATAACGTAAAATGAATAGCTTGAACAAAAATTCTGAAATTCCAGTCTGAACCTGGAAGAATACAGAAACATAAGGACCACACAAATAAACAGGGATGCTCCTCCTCTAGATATAAGCACATCTTCTCACAAAAAGATGTATTGGAAGAAAAAGAAAATCTCCTCAGTCAAAACTTTGACATACTCACAGAAGAAGTAATATCAAAATGCACAATCATAGGCCGGTTTTGGTACTTTTGGTCCAGGAGTAGAAACAGAGAGTTTAGGATTTTTCTTTCATTCACATGGGGATCAATCAGTCGAATAGTTCTTAAATGAACTCTGTGTCCTTGCAATTGCGCTTTCATTTTCTGATACATCCTCTTTATATAGAGAGATTTTCCTATAGTTTTTAACAAAAAAGAAGCATTTAAAATGGAAAGATATTGACAGGAAAAACAAAAACAAAATACTTAATTCATTTGGGACTGAGAACTCACATAGTCTATACAAATGCCTAACAACTAATATAGAAAATATAGGGAACATCAAAGATAACCAATCCAGTTAAAAATAAAGATCAGAATAAACTGTGGTGGGCAGAAAAATAGTGCTAAGGAGAATTGAATCTGGAGATTCTGATTTCTTTTTTGAGGTTTTTGAAAGGAAGATCTTTCTTTTTTTCTTTCTTAATTGGAATAAAACACAAAGGCTTTAAAACATATGCTTGTAAAGAAAGTGCTTTCTCAGTAGGCCAGAATTTGAAGTCCACAAACATTTATTTCTTCAACTTCGACTGCCCAGAGTCCTTTGGATTTGGGCAGCTGTAATAAATTTAGATAAATTAATAATATAAATAAGTTCTAATCTAAGTCACTTTTATGAGGTCCTCTTTTCCTCTAGTTCTCCAATGTAGTAAACAAGTTTAGAACATTACATGTTAATTAAAATGACAATTCCAATTAACTATAGCACTACTTGATCATAAACTGCTAGTACTGTACTATTAACATAGTAGTACATGATTTAAAACACATTTGTTATAAAGAACCCTGATTAATTGTTTATTACTCTAATGGGTCATTCTTTTCTTGCTAAACTATGATTATATTTCCAAGATGGAAGATTGTTTGAAATTGGTTTTCTCACCCATTCCAGCTCTTTCAGAAGATACAATCCCAACACACATGTTATTCTTGAAGATGGAAGTTGATAGATTTCCAAACTCAGTGGCTTTGTAATGCTTCCCAAGATAACTCTGAATCTCTTTTAGAGGCCTAAGAGGGGTCATGTGAATAATGCAATTACTAAAAACAGAGGGGATATAGAAGTGTTCTCTCTCACAGTTGCAGAACATCACTAAATGGTAGTCATTGCTATGTTTTAAATAAAGGTTTTGGTATAGTTCCTCTAACTTATAGCTAACATCGTAACTCAACTCATCTGCAAAGAGTAAGGTATAAATCTTCTTTTCTTTATTGTTTGGAGTAAGGCATCGTCTCATAAACAATTCCACTTGTTCGTAGCTAGTTTGTGGTGTACACAATAAAACTTCATCGTAGGAGGGTAACTTCTCTTTTGGACTGTTCATGTAGATGGAAATTGTGGAAATCAAAATTTCAGAGCGAGGACAGAGAATGAGATTGGGCTGCCTAGTATGAAGACCTTGTGGTAATACTCGCGCAACACTCCTTTTTTCCAAATCTGCCAAATTAGACAGGAATCTACCAAGAGTTTCAATATCAAAGCAATCTGGAAGAAATAAGCCCATGTTCTCCATATAGGACCCCCATATTTCCTCCAAGTGTTCAGTCAACTCTCTTTTTCTTGCCTGGAGTTCATACATTGCATCAAAACTATTTGGTATTTCAGATATCAGTAGTTTGGAGACTTCTTCAATATCTTGTCTACTGCAGCTATGTTTTATGAAAGACAACATCATTAAGGCAGACTCACTGGGTTTACCCGAACCAAGCTCCTGGCATAAATATACAAGCTGGTCAGCCATGTAATAATTCAAATAAAAATACTGGGATCGCTTCTCAGACATGAACTGATTCCATCTCTCCAGAAAACTCTCCATCTTCTTGCACATGGCTGGCAAAACTTCTGCCACATCTCCACTTCCACAAAGGTCATGGATAGAATTTAAATTAAAGTTCATCTTAATGCAAAACTGTCTCTTAGGTGAGCAATATATGTCAGCAATCCAGTTTCGGAAGAGCATGTTTCCAGCAGAATAAAGGTTCAGGAAGGACAATGCAAATCTCTGAACGTTAGAAAACACCTGAGTGAAGAATACACACAAAAAAACACAACAGTTATATTGAATCCAAACAGCCTATACAACGTATGCATCCTGGCAAATGCCTAATGTAGCCTCAATCAACTTTTGATTATTTGGAATATAGATATGCATTTTCAGTACAGCTCCCAAGTCCTGCCCATTCTAGGCTCTAACCAATAAGCTCATAAATAAGGTATGGGGAACCATTAAAAGTATACTTTCTGCTATTAATGGGGGGAAGATATGTGAGTAGATGGGAAAGAGTATTAGAACTGTGGAAACACAAGAGATCCAGGAAAGGGCCAGAAAAGTAAGATATAGGCCCATTTCTGACTATGAGGGTGGGATCACTGTGATATTACAATACTAAATTACTGTAGTAGCAATGAAACAATTTTACTATTGCTAGAAATTATTACAAATTGTATGTCTATGTGCTTTACCATCCAAAAGTCTGATATGACATGTATGTATGTATGTATGTATGTATGTATGTATGTATGTATGTCAGTAATCTTTAAACATATACAAAATATATCTATTTTAAATGCTAAATGCTAATCTATAATCATCAGTTCCTCTTAATCAGTATCAGGCTGTTAAGACTACAGGAATTGTTTCAAGATGTGCTCTTGTATTATCTCGTACAATGTCACAGACACATGAAAATTCAAGAATAAAATGGTTTAAATCATCAAATTTAACAGGTTTCAATAACTTCGTTCTGAAGAATGTTAAAATCTCACTGACTCTCAATAAAGACGCAAAAATACCAAAATACGAAATTTACTGATTTAGCAAGTTGTGGATTTAATTATGGGCTTTAGCTGGCAATATCCGGCCATTGTGATGCTTTCCTCAAAATGGAACATTATCAATACAATCTAGAAACAGCAAGAAGGAAAAAGCAGAAGCCTGACATTCATTCCTCTCCCTCATGTATTTCAATAACAATAATTTAAAAGGTGGAGGAAAATACAACAGGAAGCTTACTTCAGAAAATTTCTCCACTTGTGCGCTTTGTTCTTCTTTTCCGGACATCAGCATCAATTTGTTCATCAGTTCTTGAAGCTCTTCCAAAGAATACTGCCGGTTCTCCTCTTGGTCCCCATGACTTTCTTGGATCGTCAGGTCCAGAACATTGTCCAGGCAAGCCTTACAAGAAAACATAAATATATACATAATGAAGACTGCCTGTTTTTAAATTTATTAATTCAGTAAACATCAGAAAGCTTCAGTAAAAATCCAAAATTCAGTAAACATAAAGAAAGCTATTTATTAGCAAGTATGCTTAAAAGTGATTGTAATATAGTTGAAATGCAATTTTAAATGTTAATGGTGGTGAAAATTGCACGAGTACCACTCCTTTTGGGGGGGGGGGCGCTCACATTTTCTCATTTCAAAGCAGGCTATTTAATGCAATAATATCCTTTTTGTATTTTACTGTATTTCAGTGTTTAATCCTTATTTTATTTTACACTACCAAGAGTTGATTCAGCAGCAGAGGCAAACAAATCAAATGCATAAAGTACATTTAAAATTAGTTTTGTGGAAATTAGAGGAAAAGAAGAAAAAAATAGACATGTTTGGGAATAATTTTTAAGCAACACCTCACCTTCTGTCCTTCTACTGGGGCCTTAATTCTGTAAATTCCTTTCTCATTGATCCTGGTTGCCAGAGATATAGACGACAACTCCACAGAGCCATGACTCTCTTTGATAGTTTTTAACCAATCCAAGTATCTTGCAGAATCACTCTGCAGGGAGAAAATATGATTAAGAATATTCCTATTAGCCTGTATATTTCCCAGATCAGGTAAAATAGACACAATTTAAGCAGGACATTCTAAACTTTCTACCCCACTGCCTTCTGGGCTCTCAAATACATTTTACCTAAGTTTAATTTCACTAAAATCACCAATTAAAATAATACTGTATGCAAACTGGACTTAATATGGCAAAACATACCTCCATTTTTCTCTTTGAATACAGAGCACATATATGGTCTGTAGACATTCAGGTTAAAACAATATTTTTACTACATATCTCATCTTGAATGAATTAATATGCTATAAGCAAGAAACATCTTTATCAAATGCACAGCCATTTAAAGGGAGTAATGGAAAGATACAAATGCTGCTATAGTAATTACCAGCTTCGTGGGGAGGTTATGATCACTTTCCAGAGCTTTCCATATATTCTCGAGACACTTCATGAATTCCTTAAATCCTGCCTCTCGCTTTAAATCGTATAGTATGGAGGAGTAGCCAAACACAGCATCATGGAAACAAGCCACACGGTCCACATCCATGTCATTCTCTCCTGCAGATATTGAAGCCAGCTCCACGAACACTTTCAACTCATTTTTGTCTAATGGAAAGGAAGAAAGCACTCTGTGAGGTAAAAGGAAATGTATGTTCTATAAGAGGCTTTCCTGGATATATTGCAGTGCTTTCTAGGATAGCAATAGCATTTAGACTTACAGTATATCTCACTTCACAGTGTTTTCCAGCCCTCTCTAAACGATTTACAGAGTCAGCCTATTACCCCTAATAATCTGGGTCTTCATTTTACCCACCTCAGAAAGATGGATGGCTGAGTCAACCCTGAGCCTGATGAGACCTGAACTGCCAAACTGCTGACAGCCTGTGATCAGCAGAAGTAGCCTACAGTATTGCACTCTAACCACTGCACCACCGCGGCTCTTATAATTGCATTCTTATAAGGATGGCTTATAATTTCTTTTTTTTAAATACAAAAATCCATGCAGGGCCATCATGATAAATAGAGATGTGAAAAACCAGCATTTTGAAGAATACGGGAAACCTTCCACACTGGCTACTTTGTTCCAGGTGTGATTCAACAATTTTTAGAAATTAGTCCTCAGAATTTTTAATAGTTTTGCTTCTAAATAGAGAATTAACCAATATAAAATTGTTGGGACATTCTAGAGGAGAAATAGGACATTTCAAAGTTTCCTAAAATATTAGGGGTTTTTTCCCCACATAAAACAAGGCAAATGATCCTGAGGTGTTATCATTATTATGATTAAAGTAGATAAAATAGCAAGTTTCAGATTTAAATAAGAAAGTAATGGAAAACGAGTGTGATTTTAATTTGAACTTTAATTATTGTAGGGGTTTATTTTTTTTCTCTGCTCTTATTTTATACCTTAAATTTACATTTTAACTTGATTTATGTAAATGAAGTGTGTAAGAATAACTACTTTTCTGCCATACTAAAAAAAAAAAAATTAAAAGGCAGCAATACATTTATATAGACAGCTGCTCCTCACATTCATAAGAAGCTTGGGGGTGATGAACATCCACCTCACCTAGCTTATGATTACTAGTTCTACTCTTTTACCCCTATAGATTCAAGGAAACACCTTCTGAAATTGATTAGCAGGCAAAAGTTCCCAGGGATTTACTATGTCCCATTCACTTTCAGGTTGATGAAATGACAGATGACTGGCTGGTTATTCCCTAGCCTAGCAGGTATCATTTTATTTCATTTATCTTCATTCTCAGGCACACCCAGGATCATCTAGCACATTCCCCATCTCCCTCAGTCCATTTCAAGCTTATTAACCAGCCTGAAGCCAATAAATCACAGTCCACGTTCAAAAGCCATTTTAGCCATCATAGCATCTTTACCAGCCACCCAGTTCCTCCATTATTGAAATTATTTTCCCCAATATCCTCTCTGAGGTGTTTTAACCCTTCAGTAAAAGGGGTCTGATACTGATACTAACCCATCTGCAGCCTCTACTTCTCTTTTGGGAATTTTTTTTAAGGGAATCAAACTTGCCCATTCCTCTTTATTTCTAAGGCAAAGCACAAACTGTTTTGCTTTGGTGTGTGCATGAATACAAGGATACATGAAGAGCCAACAGGACAGAGAACAAGCTCATCTCAGGTCAGCTTCCTTAATTCTTTACAAGCATGAAAATTCACAAGATCAGCTATTGAAAAAGGCCTGTCAATACTAACAAGTTATGTGAAATATACTGTATGAACTCTATTGCTTAATTAATTCTGAGAAATAGTTTTAGAATATAGAAAAGTCAGAAAGATCAAAAAATATTTTACCGCTTCCTTATACGCTGAAGGAGAACAAATCAGTGTTGAATTGGCTTAAAGCTAGAGTGCATCCACTACCAGCTGAATGGAGAGTCAGGATGTGGTATATTAGACTGGCAAAAAGTAGCCTATTCCTGTCACACCTTTCTTCCAGCCCAAACAAAGTCAGACTCTTCCACACACCTCCAAAACAAAACCACCCTGAATAGTAATCCCTGGGAGCTTTTGCCTGTTTATCTGTACAAAACAGCCCTTGCAGATATAGCTAAAATCCTAAAGTAGATAAAAGAACAGTCCCCTCCAAGTCTTAAGTCAAATTCTTCTATTACCAAGAGATCCTTAGAGTGATGTGCAATAATCTTATCTGCATAGTAGTTCCATGGAAATGACTAGTACAAAGAAAACTGTTGTAGCTACTCAGTCTCCTGTGATTCTATAATATTAAGTCTCACTTGGTGCCAGCCATATTAATTATGCTGCTGCTATTACTATTTTTTCTAGCTTTCTTCCACCACCACCCTCAAATATTCATGAGCCATTTTCCCCATGCGTTGTAGGTTAAATCTGGGGGTGTTGGCCCTCAGGAATAAAACAATATGCAGTAGATCCCATGAATAGGATATTTTTATTATTATCGTTTTACAGACAAGCTATAATCATAACCTTCGCTTTGATTCAGGGTGAGTCTTTCTTGGCATTCATGTAATTATGACCTTTATCTCAGTTTATCCTGTCTTGGTTCCATCTTTCTTACATGTCTTCGATATATAATAATCCACCATTAGCTTTATTCAGACCAGCCAACTCAGAACGCGGTTCTCTGCATGCCCAGTTAGTATTGTATTGCTATGGTTGGATTTTGGTTTCAGAGCAGATTCTTGGTCTTGTGGCTGGATAGAAGTTTTGAAATGTGGGCAGACTTTTTCCCTAGGTTACTATACCATATCTACTAGCTTCTGGTTGTTACCAGCACTCTGGGATTCTCTGGGGTATGTCAGAACATCTCAGGCTCCAATGGCTGGTGCTTTAGGCAGCCACATCCTGGATGCCAATATCATGAGCTCATGTTGGCATCTATTCAGTTTCCTCAGCTGTCTACATCAATACTTCCCTTGTCTAGTAGCTGCCACCCATTATTATTCTGCTGCTGGCTCCTGTTATAGTCCTGTCATCACATCATTTAATGTCTATCTGCCCCTCCCCCAACATTGATCTTTATGTTGCTGTTACTGCCATCACCGATGGCCTCCTCTTTTTCATTGTACCTCCTGAACTTCTGGTCTTTGCTCTGCTCACTCTTCTTGTTCCCTTCCCATTTTTTTCAGCCTTGTGATACAATATGTCTGCATTTGATTGAGTCCTCAATGATACTATGGTAGTCTAGCTCCTTCTTTAAAGGACAGTTCTTCATTCTGGCAGGGCAAGGACCCTTAAGCTAAAGGTGTCATTGCTTCACACCCGGTCTCCCTCCTACACAGGAATCTGAAGGGAAAACATTTCCTTAACCTTGACCTTTTCCTACAGTATTTATTCACAACAGATATGTGTGACTTTGCTTGATTACACATGATTGTGCATCTAGATGTTCTATTTGTCAAGGCTTAAGTCATGCTTTATCTCTGGATAGGCAACAGTAGGGAAAGGAAATATACACTCAAGTAGATGTTCCTCATTGTACATGCAAATGAAGAATCCAAAAGAGAGAAAGCCTAGAAGTAACAAAATGTCAGACTGAGAAAAGAAAAAGAACATATTCAAAAAGATAAATAAAGCTTTCATTAAACTTTGTTTTCTCCATCCACATGTCTTCTTGCAGATTCCAATATTTGACATTTAGAGTGGAGAATACAACAGCTCAATACAACATAAAGTACAGTTAAAGCTTTCCTTGGGGAAACAGCAGATATATCAGTTCTACCTTCCAAAGCCTCTTTGACCCAGTGAACAAACTCCTTCCTAATTGCCAGCTCTTCGAGGCACATGAGACGTTCTTTAGTAATAACTTGCAGCAGTTTCTTAGCACGTATCAATGAAGAGCTCATAGAAGAAAGCTTTTCTTCTTGAAAGGCCTCGAATTCAATTGTCTGAAGAATAAATTACATGGAATAAAAATATTGCATGTTAAGAACACCCAAATCCTCCTTCCTGTTCCACAGATCTTTTTTTTTATCCCTCTGGTGTTAAGAGATTCACAGAACTGACTTCCCCCCCCCTAAATATCACTCCTTTTAGGAAATGTATGAATACAGCAGAGGTTTGTAATTTCCAACCGCTCAAGGGGAGTGGGAGTATATAGCCACTATTTATTTATACCATACTTTTACAATTTTATGAAACTGAAACTATGCAAAATCTCTTAGGACTGTCTTTTGAATGGTGAGTTAAAGAGATATACTTACGAAGTTCAGCAATTGTTGCAGGACACTGAAATCACCAGAAAGTTTCAAAACGTCCTTGACTTTGTCAATAACTTTAGCAGAGTCCAATGCCAAATTCAGTTCATAGTACTGTTGAATTTGCTGGATCCGTTCACCTATCCATTCTCCATTATCACGAGTCTGCAGTTTGCACATAATTTCGAAATCTCTTCTGAGTTCTTCATAATCATTATTAAAATCTTTGAAGAGAATGTTCACTTCAGCAAATGTGATGTCTCCCAATTTCAAGCTGTCATAAATCCTTTGGAACTTCTTGTAACAAGGATAAAATAAGCGGTTATTCACATCCTCCATATCTAAAGTTTCTTCAGAGTCTGAATTCTCCATGTGGTCCATCAGCATCTTGGCTGCCTGCTCCCAGCAATGCATGAAAATGTGGCTATCTTTATAATCATAGATATCTTTAGATACGTTCTTCAGATCTTCACTCAAATGGAGAAAGGTCTCTATTCCATCATCACTGCATGAAGTGGGTTCTCTCACTTTCACAACATCATCCAAAGTTTTCTCTGCCAGATTTCCGCTGTAATTTTGTTCCACTTCAGTTAAATCCACTTTAAAAAGGGGGAAAATGTAAGTTGGACCATAGTAATTTTCAGTTCATTTAAGCATTTGATATAACCTACCCAAAGATTCATTTTAGAGATCCAATCTAAAGCAGTGGTTGCCAACCAGTGGGCCGGGGACCACTGGTGGTTCATGAGAAAATTTTGGTGGTCCGCAGAGAAATGTCCCCCCCCGCAAAGCACTCCCCCCAAAGCAATTAATTCAGGCTGCTTGGGAACACAAGGCTGCGCTGCCCACATGGCCCGCTCACCCGCTGGCCTCCATCCTTCGGCCAAGCACAAACCTTGAGTAGAGCCACGCGAGCTAGAACTGGAAGGTAAGGCCAACGGCGGGGGAGGGAAAGTCTTGGTAGGAAAGTCGATCCCATATTCCAGAGCTGCGGTAGCCACAAGACTGGCCCTTTGGTCATCCCGGAGCAGCCCCTCCAGTCCATGGCAGACTGGTGCACCCAGGTGAAGGAGCAACTGCTCCGGGATGATCAAAGAGCCAGTCTTGTGACTACTGAAGCTCTGGAATATGGGACTGACTTTCCCACTAATATCAGCAAGCCACCGTCAGTCAAAATTCATTGTGGTCCATGGGATTTAAAATTATGAGTTTGGTGGTCCCTGAAGTCCAAAGGGTTGACAACCCCGATCTAAAGAGTTTTTGTTTTCATATCTGCATTATTCCATTTCTCTGATGTTAGAATTTTCAGTTGCTTTCCCATTCATCCTTCCATATATTCAAGCTCTATTTTAGGAGGATATTAACAATAATGGCAAAGGAGCATCAGATAACAATTTGCAGAAGAAACTATAAACACTGGTTTTAAAATAATTGTCACTTTTAAAAATATACCTTTTACGTAGCACTGAACCTTCCTCAACATATCCAAGAGGACTCCCAAATATTTTTGCTCCCTCTTGACATGCAATAATTCCTGTCGTCTCAGATCTACAACTTTTTCTAATTTCAGTCCTTCAGGTAATTCATTTGAGTAAGATTGTTCCATGCATTCTGTAATCAAAATTGGAATTTTATACATACATACATACATTGCATAAGCAGATTAAAGGATTCATCAGACAGTGCATAGTCAAAAATATTTAAACAATACAAAACATTAAACCCATCTAGGCAACAGATAACCATAAACTCACAATAGCAATAATCCTGAAGTTCTAAAATGCCAAAACGTTAACAATGTGTAAAATTTAGTATTCTTTGGAAGGACATTCTAGGGGACATTGGAGTCTTTTTTCTAGACTAGGCCATTTCATACACAGACCATTTCCTGTTCCAATTTGCCCATACATTCAGTGCTTTCATGATTTTTAAAAAAATGTGAATAACTAAAGGCCCCAAGGAGCCCAACATGCATACAATATAATAAGGGGTACAAGAATAATACTTCTGAAATGAGAGCAGTCCACTCTAATATAATAAACTAATATATAATAGCAGTAGCAATAGCACTTAGACTTATATACTGCTTCACAGTGCTTTACAGCCCTCTCTAAGCAGTTTGCAGAGTCAGAATATTGCCCCCAACAATCCCGGTCCTCATTTACCAACCTCAGAAGTACGAAAGGCTAAGTCAACCTTGAGCTGGTGAGAATCAAATTGCCAAACTACAGGCAGCCGGCAGGCAGCAGAAGTAGCCTGCAGTACTGCATTCTAACCACTGTGCCACCACAGCTCATTAACTAATATAGATAATCAATCTCCTCAGAGGGACGGAGAGAGGGAGGAAGGAAGGAAAGATGGAAAGAAGAAAGGAAGGATTACACAGAAGTATGAAAGCACAAAATGAATCCCCCCAACCCCATTTTGTAGCCTGGGCTGACGTGCAAATAAACAAATTACAGGTAGTCCATGACTTACAGCAGTTCATTTAGTGACTGTTCGAAGTTACAATGGCACTGGAAAAAGGCACTCATGACCATTTTTCACATTTATGACCATTGCAACATTCCCATGGTCACCTGATCAAAATTCAGGCACTTGACAAACTCATATTTACGACAGTTGCAATGTCACAGGATCATGTCATCCCCATTTACGACCTTTTGACAAGCAAAGTCAATAGGAAAGCCAGATTCACTTAACAACCGTGTTACTAACTTAACAACTGCAGTGATTCACTTAACAATTGTGGCAAGGAAGGTCAAAAAATGGGGCAAAATTCACTTAACAAATGTCTATGTAGGTTCTCCAGCATCCAGGTCATAGTTGTCCCAAAGCTGAAGAAGCTTCCTAGATGAGAAGCAAAACGTCTTCAAAGAAAAACCAAAAAAGTTCAGTTGCCGCTTGAAAAAGCACCTTTGGGTCACTTAACAAATGTTTTACTTAACAACAGAAATTTTGGGCTCAATTATGATACTCTAGTTGAGGACTACCTATATCTGTACCTGTACCTCACATCTACAAGGATAATGGTACTACAATTCACTGAACAGTTCAAGAAAAGCAGAACAGCTCCAATTATTAATTTAACAGATTATTAAACAAATATCATGACATTAGGCTTATTCTAACACTTCCTAATGTACAAGACCAACAAAAATGGAAAGTAGAAAACATAACAAAAATTTAATTAAAATAAAAAAACCTAAGGTAAAATCAATAATTAAAATAGCTAGCAAAGAAGAGCTTACTACCTCTTCCTAAGTACTGAGAAAATTGGAGCCAAATCCACCTCTTTAGGGAAGTGCCTCCCATTGCTAGACCACCACACAAGGCCCCTTTCTAGTGTGAAACAGTATATAAGCTCGCGCAACTCCATTTGCACAAGCCGCCTGCAACTGCATGTATGCTTGCTGGCTGTTCACGTGGAACCATCCCCTACGCAGAGGTGGTATGTTCGGGGAACCGGCAAATACCACCTGAGTGGAGATTTTACAGTATCCTTCCCCTGTCATGCCCACCAAGCCACGCCCACAGAACCGGTAGTAAAAAAAAATTGAATCCCACCACTGCCCGTACCTCACCGGTCCACAAAGCCAAAAAGGTTGGGGAATCCTGCTCTAGCAATAGCAATAGCACTTAGACTTATATACTACTTCACAGTGATTTACAGCCTTCTCTAAGCAGTTTACAGAGTCAGCATATTGCCCCCCAACAAACTGGGTCATTTTACCGACCTCAGAAGGATGGAAGGCTGAGTCAACCTTGAGCCGGTCAGGACTGAACTGCCAAAATGCTAGCAGCTGGCAGTCATCAGAATTAGCCTGCAGTACTGCATTTTAACCACTGCACTGCACGATGGTGCAGTGATTAGAACGCAGTACCATCTAAGACAGTGGTGGCTAACCTTTTGGGCTTCTGTGCCAAAAATTGTGTGCGTGCTTGCACGCTCGCATGCCAGAACCCAGAAGGCAATGCGCGCCCCCCACGCATGTGCGCGCAATCCCCCCCACTCCCACCACCACCCCCTTACCTGCACTGCGCCCCACAGCTGATTTTCAGCAGGTTTGAGGCCTTTTTTGGCCTCTTAGAGACTTGAGGAAGGCTTCTGCAGGCTTTGCAGGCCAAAAACTAGCCCCGTTTCGTCACTTCTGGTATTTTCAGAAAAACAGGGAGTGACGAAACGTGGCGAGTTTTGGGCCTGCAAAGCCTGCAGAAGCCTTCCTGAAGCCTTTGGGAGGCCAAAAAAGGCCTCAAACCCACCGAAAATCAGCTGTGAGGTACGAGCATGTGCAGTGAGGTAAGTTTGCCTGCAGCTCACATGCTGGCACAAATGGCTCTGCATGCCACCCGTGCCATAGGTTTGCCATCACGGGTCTAAGACGACACCACATAAAAACAAAATATGTATTTCTTTATTGTCCTGGTGATCTATGATTTCATAAAACCCAATTAAGTACATAATTAAACTACATTCATTCAATTTATCCCTCTCTCCATTTGTATAAGTAAAAGAGACTTACTTATGAATTGTGTCTTATACTTTACAATTAGCTCCAAATGCTTAATCTGAATATGGCCTGTTACAAGTTGATAAGCCGCAGTTTGAAGCAAAGATTCAGCAAGGGTCATTAACAATCGAGCTTCATCAGTGAATTGGTTTAGAGTATTTTCTTCTGCACCTATCAAATATATTTTTTAAAAAAATAAGAAATATTTGGAGGCATTAAATTGTTCAAGTTAGCTACTTTCTTCTTGTCACCTAAAAACAATTCTGTGCAAAATGACTTACAGGTAGTTCTTGACTTACAATAATTAGTTTAGCAACCATTTGAAATTATGACTGTGCTAAAAGGACTTACGATCTGTGTCCAAAGTTACAGCCAATGCAGTGGCCTCATGATCACATGACTGCAATAATGGTCACATGACTGCAATCTGGGTACTTATGACAAGTTGCCAAGCACCCTGCAACCATGTGATCACCATTTGCAATCTTCCCTGCTGGCTACCCCCTGGAAACCCTCTGCCTCTGCTCTTTTCAAGGGGCTTGCTGGGAAAAAAAAACCGGACTGCCTCATTGACAGCAAAAACATTCAAATTTCTCTGTCATGATGAGTTTTGCTCTTAAAGGAGCAGCAAAAACTTGAGTCTCACTGCCAAGCAGTGTTTTTGCTCCCTTTGTGAGCAAAGAAAGGGAGAGACTCAAAAAAGGAGCAAAAAAATACTCCATTTTCACCCAACCTCTTTAACAACAAAAATGCTGCCTGACAAGATTGATTTTGCCCCACATGGGGTGAAGTGCCTTCAGCAGGCAGGAGGAGAATGAAGCCTGTGAGCTGAAGATCTGAGCTGCTTCTCTACAGATCAGCCCTGTAGTTCCCTTCTGTGCATGGACGGGAACTGTCTGCATCCCACTGTCCACTTAACAATCACACCTGTAAAAGCCAGGATGAGTCATTAGGCTGGGGTTAGGTCATGTAGTAAGACACATTACAACCACCTCAGTGTATGACTATGATTTTGGGCTCAATTACAGTCATAAAGTCAAAGATTCTCACTCTCCTATCTCACTTACATTCCTATACCTCATTTTTTAGCCCTGTACACAGATGTAACTCTTATTATTTTTGCCAAAGGGGAATCTTCTTAAAAAAATAATATATATTCTTTCAGTCAAAACATCAATGAACATTCATGAAGTTGATTACTAATTTATCATAGTTTCATACAATATACATGTATCAAATATCCAAATGTATGAAATATCCAGTACAACTCCTCCATTATTCTATTATTATGTAGCTATTTCCCGTTATATAGCTACCTTTGATCATTTAATTATTCCCTCGAACTATAACAATAATTCTGTAAATGATTTACATACGATTGAAAATGAATATATATTTGCTGTCCTGCCATTCAAACAGATGCTTTAGTATACTTTGAAAGTCTTCAGAACATGTTGCTGTATCATCCTTTGGCCAGGATTTTATGATGGCAGCAGACATAATTTTACCCAGCTTGTTCTGATCATATTTAGATATCAACTCAAGCAGATTCTGTTGTTTCTAGAAAAAATATAGAAAAAAGAATGTAATGAAGGCAGTAATGAATTCAATGCATCACAGATTCTGCGCCTCTATCAAGATTGTCACAAAATTCAGTTATCGTGTAATGGGACTTCCCCACCGGAAATGTATTTCTCCTTCCATGTGAATTTTTCTTCTACTTACTGAGATAGATACTGCTCTTAGAATAGGGATAATCACAATTCTATAAAAATGTAGGCTCCTAATCTGTTATTCCTCGATTTACAACATTTTGTTTAGTGACCATTTGAAGTTACAAAGGCACTGAAAAAAAATGACATATGGTCATTTTTCACACTTATGACAGTTGCAGCATCCCCATGGTCATGGGTTCAAAATTCAGATGCTTGGCAACTGACTCCTATTTATGATGGTTGTAGTATCCCGAGGTCTTAACCTTTTGTGACTTTCTGACAAGCAAAATCAATGAGGAAGCCAGATTCACTTAACAAATATGTTAGTAATTTAATAACTTCAAGGATTCACTTAACAATTGTAGAAAGAAAGGTTGTACAATCAGGTAAAACTCTCTTAACAAATGTCTTGCTTTATCAACAGAAATGTTGGGCTCAATTGTGGTTGTAATTTGATGACTACTTGCAAAATGGAACATGGTGCATGGGCAGGATTTGAAGGCCCTTCATCTCACATTTCTATACTGTATCTATAAAGACACTGCTACCGTTACTCCAAGTTAACCAATCTTCACTTATAAAAGAGACAGAATGACCTTGAATAGCTGTTAGAAATGGACTGAGAACAAACATGTGAATGTAAGTTCCTATTCAAAAGAGTGAGACTCAATTTCTGGAACAAAGAAAAGACTGTGACAAAGACCATCCCTGCTGTATGGGAAATATTTAAAAACTTAATCAGCAGAATCAGCTAGTTTAGTATATCTTATCTATAAATAGAGGTAATATATACTAAAAAAAACTAATTTAATGAATGGAAAAACATGAAACTATAGGTCTATGGTGTGTTACAGTAAAAGGTATTTTTAAAAATCCATGCTAAAATGTTTAAATTATATCATTGTGGCAAGGACACATTACAGGTCAGGATTTGATGTATTTTGGATTGTATGCAGAAGTATAACCAACACTCAGCTACAATCAATCATGAGATGCCCTCACAAGGCAACATACTGGTCTCTGTGTCCTGCCTGCTACGATGTATAGACAATGCATTTATCAGCCAACTTGGAAGGAGAGGATGGCATATGTCTCAAAGGTACATTGCTTTAATCTGTGACTATTTGAAGTATAACCACCATCGTATTTACTGAAAGATCAGACAATATTAGATAAATTACCTGGTATTACAAAAAATTACCTGGTATGCTAAATCAATAGCTTCAATGGCACAATGTTCAAATATTTGCAAAATCACAGAATCAAATTTTTGAATTTCCTCGTAGTGACTACAGTAGATTTTAATTTGTTCAACAGCTCCTTCCTAATTAGAAAGCATCAAAACAAAACACAATTTGGGATTACAAAATATGTACAGTCTCCAAAGTGGAGACATACAACAGAAGAATTTATGATGATGCCATTAAGACCTAAACATAATAAATTGTTTTTCAAAATATATAAAATGTTGTTATGCTTGTTCAGGATGGAAAAAGGACATAGGGTACCATATACTATTATTTTTTGCAATAGTCTTTCTACAATAATTTGGCATTTATAGTCACTTACTTTATTTTTTTAATCAGCATACTTGAGAGAATTTCAGAGGGTTACAATCTCTCTCTCTCTCACACACACACACACACACACAACACAACACCCATCATACAATTAAAATTATATAACAATTAAGCAGATCCCAAACATTAAGCCACAGATAACATTTTTTAAGACAAAAATAAAATAGATGGTGACATCTTTAGATCTAGTTTTCTCAACAATTCAATGTTTAATAATTCCTTAAAGCCTAAAAGGTATGAACTGACTGGATTTCAAGGGGCAGGGAGGTTCCATAATATTCATGCTGCCACAAAGAAACATTTGTAGACCTCCATTCCCTAAGGAAATGGGAGGAAATTATTTGTTTGGAAGAAATTCCATACTTAATTTACGTCAGGTGCTTCATTCGAACTGAAACCAGATGTTCTGCATGGACAAGTCACCAACTATCTGCTCAGATATGAAACTGAAGTCTAAACTTGCCACTGACTTCCGGTTTCCAAGGCTTCAGTGGCGGCAGGAATCCGCGATCGTGCTTGCCGCCGAAGTGCCTCCGATCCAGCTGGATTTGGAGGATATGGTTACCCCGTAGAGGCAACTGAAGATAGGGGAGATCCGGTAGGGGCTTGGGGTATCGCAAACCCCCTCCTCAGCCGGCTAAACTCCTTTTTCCCAAGGCGGTGGAGCGGCAGTCAGCAATGGCCGCCACAAAGAAGCCTGCAGCTGGACAAGATTGTGCAGGAGGAAGTCGGAGAAAGTGAAAAGTTTTTGCTGAACCGGGATAACAAGGAACCTCTAAATACCCTGGAAATTTAATCTCTTGAATGATACATTGTTTCCCAAGAAGACTGTAAAAGCGGCGGAAGAAAGTTTGAAAGGGAAAGTTATTTTCTCTCACTCTCCTTCCCTACGGAAATAGCAGATGGAAATCTGAAAAACCTGCTTGGGCACAGAAGGTAACTAAACTTGGTAAGTAAAGCCAAGGGGATAAAAGATTTTTGAACATTGGAATTAAAAATTAAAATCTTTTTGCTATAAGTGGGAAGGAAGAGGTAAAGAACTTACTTTAAGATTGTACTGGAGGAGACTGCTTGGAGTTTATAAGACCAAAAATAAATGGCAATAAGACTTCTAAAAAATTATTTTGGTACTGTATAATTGAATTCTACCCCAGGAAGACAAAATATAAAAAGAAGAAAGTACTAATGAAATAGTTTGTCTTGATTTGGACTGCTTTGGGACTTTGGGGAACTATTTTTTGAAAGATTAAAAACATTTGGGTTGTTTTTTTTTTAAAAAAAGTGGCATTATCTGTTGAATTGCAAATGGAATTTCAAAAGTTAAAAGAAGAGGAACAAGAAGGCAAGGGCTCTTCTGGATCTATTTTTCACTTTTTAGAAATGGTGATTTCTACCTACCAGGAAATACAACAAGAAAGCTGGGATGAAGAAGAAGAAGCCATCTTTAATAGACATATAATCTTAGTTGAGGAAGAAAAGAGAAACAGGGGAAAGAAAATGCAGAATTCAGAACTTAAGAAAGCAACCAAGAAAGGGAAAAATAAGGTGAAAAATCAATACAATGTCAGAAAGCAACAGAAAAGAGAAATACAACAGAGGGGAGACTAAGAGAGTGGAGTTTGAGAGATGGGGGGGGCAAAAAGGCTAGAATTGATAAGAAAGGAAGGGAAAAAGGAAAGAGAAGTCATAAAGGTTTAAAACAAGATGTTAAAAAACAGGTTTTTTTCAGAGACAAAGGGTAAAATATAATTTTTTAATAAAAGATTCTACAAAAGTACACAAGACTGTATTGTAGATATTAGTATTTGAAATTGAGTTAGAAAACTGAAATATTATATGAGTTAATAATACATTAAAGGGAATGTATAAAAATGTCTAAGATTTAACAATAGAGTTTAATTTCCTATGGAACATTGTTTTTACTATATTATAAACCTATTTTTCTTCTTTTGTTTTGCTATTCTAAAATGTAGTACTTAGAATATACTAAGCAGAATCAGTATGAATATTATGTATTATTTTAAGTGTTAAATTTAGGGGAAAGATAAAAGTTGTCATACTTCAACCAGTGATTACAGGAGAAATATCGTATTAGAAAGAAAAGATAAATAGATAATTGAAAGAGAATGGACAAAAGATGCAAGTATAATTATCTAAATTGAGATGAAATAAATAAAATATAATTAAGAGAGTGAATAGAAGAGAGAAAATATATAGAAAATATAGAATGTTAAATAAGATATGAAATAGTATATTAAGTGAGCATGAATTTGTCTGTACAAAAAGCTGTGACCCGGGGTTAAGCTCCTTTCCAAAAAGAAGTTTTATGTATTTATGTTTTGTGTTTGTCTATGTTTGAATTAATAAAACTCTAGAAGAATGTTGGAAGAGAATAATGAAATTGCAAATAAGACAGAAAGATACAATGAATATATACAAATCAAGGCAAAAGAAATATAACTGAATAGAAGGGAGAAATAGAGAGAAGTTGGGAAAAAGATATGAAGTTGAATATATAAGATAAATGTGCATATTAAATTGTGCTTGTATGGAAATGTGATAATTTGGAATTATGCTGTCTTTATAAGATGTTTTATTTGTTTTTCAGAAAAGATGTTTTATGTTTTTATATTCTATGTTTTGTTTGTCTGTGTATTGTTTTTAAAAACTAATAAAATTTGTTTAATAAACTTGTCACTTATACATGTTGTACCAGAGATTATTTGGGACATGTCCCTGATTGCCATGGAGATCATGAACTCCCCAAGATTGAAGTCACTAAAACATGAGAAGTCTCCAATACCAGTCTGAGAACAAATCAAGGGGTTCACAGAGAGCATCTGTCATGGTAGCTGACACACTAGAAGGATACCCAAGTTGTCCCCACAACCAACTTAACATATAGGCATTTATATCCCATTATCTCTTGGTATAGCGCCCCTGGCAACAGGCACAATCTCTCCATGATTTAATATCCTCCATCCTCTTCAACCCTGCTGGGGAAGGACCTGAAACCCAGGAATGCAATTCTCTGGGAAGGCAATAGCAGCATCCTCGTCAGATCTCAATAAAGCATACCAAAAATGCATTTTCTTCCCAAAACAAGTCTTAGACAAGAAAGAGTATAATAAGAGACTTAGTTCAGATAATTTAGAGACTCTTACAGACATTATCTTAACAGACATGATATTAACTATCAAAGAGCCCAGTAATGTTGAGAATTATAGTCATCACACATTTCAAAGAAACCAGGTTAAGAAAGATGGTCGCAGAAGCAAAGCCAATAATTGACTTGAATTGTATAGTTGTGCCAAGCCATATTTTAACCATTAACTGATGAACAGAGTATATTCATTGAGCAACAACCTGTACAACCACACATCAGCTCAAAGCAAATGGTAAGTTGATATTACTTTAGTGATTCATTCTTGTCCCAAATCGTATTTTGCTGATGCTAGAAATTCCAAGGAGTTTTGCCAGATACAACAGTGATCAGACTAATCTTGGTTTAATAACAATAAAAGAAGACACGTCACAAACATATTATAGAAAAGCTTTCTATACATTTCAAATAGGTTATCTCAACTACATCTTAATTAATACAATCAGATTAACATCACGTTCATATGACACTATATACCCACATACCTGTTTAATTCTGCTTTTCAAAATTGACATCAAAGTTTTTTTCCAATGTTGAGAATTACTGCTGTTAGGAAACTTTATTTTCAAAAACTGATCCCATGCCTACAAGGACAACATTAGTTTAAGTTTTAAAGCCACAAATAAAAAACTGTTTAAAATGGAAGTAGGAATGAGAATATTTATGCTACTCAAATTGAAACATTTAACTTTAATGCTAGGATATTTCATCATCTATTAGAAAAGAATACATGCGTTTTAAGAACTGGAAACCTAAACTGAAGATTTATTGTCAGGTTAAGCTCCACCTTCAACCTGAAGGAAACTACAATTTCAGATCCTATTATGACTTCAGGGAAGTAACTATGAAAAACATTGTTCACAATTTCTAGAATAAAATAGATTCGTTTTCAACTTTGGTCTCATCTTTCTCTATCCTCTAATTTTTCTGAAGTAACACTATGCAAACTTGAGAAAAATATTGCAACTGGTGACATGCCTCTGACAGGCTAGAACAGGGGTCTCCAAACTTGGCAACTTTAAGACTTGTGGACTTCAACTACCAGAATTCCTCAGCCCTTGGGCTAGAATGACCAACAGAGATGCTGGTTCACTTCACAATGCACACTGCAAAAATTCATGCATTAAATGCATGTTTAATTATGCACATTTTCAGTAAGGATTACTGATATAAAAATGGATAGGAAAAGAAAATTAGAACCACTGTTAAAATAAAAATAAAAAGGAAGCTACAAATCACAATGTTTTGTATAAAATCTAGATATAGGGCAGTTCCAAAACACAAACCTCAAGTTCGTTTCTCCAAGAAAACGTAATCGATCCTGTTTTCAGCAGAGATTTCGGAAGATAGTAACAAAACCAATTGCTAGTAGTTTTACAAACATTTTGGAATACTGTTGTGGCAAGCTCCATTTCTAAATCCTGTCATATGGAAAAGAAAATATAATTTAATGAATGAAAGAGAGAAGCCCATTTCCTGAATCAGCATAAGTAAAATTTTAAAAGAGGAAAATCCACTTAGAGGCAGTTACCAGTTATTATCTCCAGTAATAGTAACACTACCAAGACAACATTTGTCTATCTCAGGTCCTTGGGAAGGACTCAAATCCAGGGTAAACATCTGGCTGACTATGAGATGAACTGTAATTATAAAGGTAGATTTAATACAGGTAGTCCTCAACCTATGACCATTATGGTCTTAGAATGGGTCACTCATATGATTGACCTGATTTTTACGACCTTTTTTGCAGACATCAAAGTCAATAAGTGACTGCTACACTTATTGTCATTAAGTGAACACCATGGTTGCTAAACAAACCAATTGTTCACTATGGACTGGTTTTGCCAAAAGCCTAAAGAAAAAGCCAATTTTCAGCAAAACATGGGATGACCATGGGAAGCTGCAAACAGCCTTATGTCAAGGATTACCTTTATAAATACCCTTTCAAATCAAATTTGGGTGGTTTACAAAATATGATACCAGTAGTAAATTAAATTAGTTAAAAACATAGAATAAAACAAGACAGCTCAGATCATTTTAATCTGAGCTGCCTTGTTTTATTCTATGTTTTTAACTACTTTAATTTACTACTGGTATCATATTTTGTAAGCCACCCAGCACAATGGCAACATCAAACACATTAACACCAAGCCTAGGATCAAAGCTAGATTTGAAGGGCTTTTTGCAAATTCAGGAGAGAAGGGTTCCTCTATCACTGGTGAGGATGCTGTTCCATAGGGTAGGGGTACAAAAGAGAAGCCATATTTCCTAGGTCACTATGATTAAGCTTGCCAATGGGACTCTCTACTACTTCAGCTATAATCCTAAAATGCTTGGGAGAGTATATCAGGCATCACAGAATGATCCACTCCATAGCCTACTGAGATCTGTGAAATTTGACCATGGAAGGGAAAACCCATAGTTCAAACCCTCCATGGAAGTGTTCCTTAGTGTCCCTATAGCTATAGAGTATCTTCTGAACATATCAAAGCAGGGAATAATAATACATACGGTTAGATTCAGTATAACCCTAATCTGTGCCAAATCTATGCCAGGTTTGAGAATAGTCCAACTGCTATCATCCCATTAGGGATGTGAATTTCAAGACAAATTACTTTGTGAAGTTTAAAATACTTTACAGGAAGTCTTTGACTTGCAACCACAACTGAGCCCAAACTTTCTGTTGCTAAATGAGACAGTGGTTACATGAATTTTGCCCAATTTTATGACCTTTCTTGCCATAGTTAAGTGAATCATTGCAGTTGCTAAGGTAGTAACACGGCTGTTAAATGAATCTGGTTTCTTCAATGACTCTGCTTGTCAGAAGATAACAAAAGGTGATCATATGACCCCAGGACACTGCAACCATCATAAATATGAATCAGTGGCCAAGCACCTGAATGTTGATCATGTGACCATGTAAATGCTGCAATGATTTTTAAGCGTGAAAAATAATCATAAGTCACTGTTTTCAGTGCCGCTGTAACTTCAAACAGTCACTAAGCAAACTGTTGTAAGTCAAGGACTATTTGTACTTCTATCTGCCTGAAGCACTCAAAAACAGTGACGTTTTCATATAATTACATCACCAAAGTTATTTGTCCCAATGAATTCCCACTAGGTCTGAAAAGGATAGGGTCTCTTGCTTGAGCGGAGGTAGGACTAGAAGATCTCCAAGAACACTTCCAACCTTGTTATTCTGTTTTTCTAGTCAGTTTCAGGCAGATCAAGAAAGCCTTTTCCACACCTGTCTTAATGAAATATTAAAGGGCAAGAGAGAGAAGCTTACCTCTGATGGTACAAGTGCAAGAATTGTTGAAACAATTTCAACTGCTGTAGCTAATAACTTGTATTGTGGTATTTCTGGAATCTGACTGCTGCATATCTGATGAAGTTTTTGACAGACAAAAGCAGAGCATCTCCAATCTTCTTTCTGAATTGTACTGAATTGCAGAAAGGTTGTATATTTTTTGCAATCAAGAGACACCAGAAATGTACATTAAAATATGCATAACGAAACAGACTCAAGAGTTCAATATGCTATTTGCAATGAAAACTAAGCTTATAGGAAGGTAAATATGTCTCTTCATTCTCATAACCAGGATACATCCCCATAGTTGATTCTTTGAATTAGGAAGTTTTCTATAGAAGCCATTTTGTGAATATGAACACCACTCATTCATAATTTTCCAAAGATGTGCCTCACCTGGAAAAGTGGCCTACTATCAAAATTAAAGAGAGCCCTAACAAAATACTGGTAGTCTTGGGATTATCACAGCAACCGGGCCAATTATAATCGAAATAAAAGTAATTGCCACTGATAAGGGATGCAAACATAAAGTGACTGCATCACTTAGTGATGGCAATCCTGTGTGCCAGCATAACCTTAGGACTATTAAGGGGGAAAAGGTGAGAGCTCCAGATAAGGTGTGCAGGCAAAATGGGGAGGGGAGCAAGTGCTGGGAAGTAGGGAAGGACAGGCAAGGACCATGGGGGAGTAGACAAAGGTAGCATGGAAGCATAGTGGGCCAAGCAAGGGTATCAGGTGGGCTGGCTAGGATGGGTGCTGGGAAGCAGGGGAAGGTGTCAAACTCAAACAATAGAGTCACACATGAAAGGCTCAAGTTGGTAACTTTATTGCATTTTACCTACAGTACATGAATTTCCCAGACTGCTTGTCTTCCCTTGGGAAAAGACAGGAGTGGTTCCATGGAACCTGATGGGGGGGGGGTGTGCCAGGCCTGGGTCTCTTGCAGCTGCACAACTGCTTAATTCCTCCCCTCCAACTGGTTGGGCATTCCTCAACAAAGGCCCAGCAATGGCACCAGGCAGATGCTAAAAAATGGGGGCAGGGAGTGGTTGTCCATGGAATATCATACTCTATAGCGGAACTCCTCTATAGGAAGGAAGAGTGCGGTCAATTTTTTTTCTTTTTCTTTTCCTCAAAATTACTTCCTGTTCTAATGATCTCCAATTCTCCTTTTCTAGTAGAAATATTCCAACCATGAAATGCTAATCATGGCACTGTCACACAAAAGTGGCCCGTTGTGGCCCACAACGTGGGCCAGGCCTCATTTTCAGCTGCAACAGCCTCCTGCAGCCCTCTGCCAGAGAAAATGGAGCTCAGCCTCCCAGGCTCCATTTTCACTGACAGAGGGGTAGGAAAACAAACTAAAAACAAAACCAAAGGAGAAATGTTTCCTCTTTTGCATTTGAGCATTCAAGAAGGGACAGGAAAGGAGAAAGGGAAAAAGGAAAGAAAAAGATGGGAAAATTGGAAGGAAGGAAGGAAGGAAGGAAGGAAGGAAGGAAGGAAGGAAGGA